CGAGAGCAAATCTCTCTCTCTCTCGAAGGCGATCTCGGTTCTCTCGTCTTCGATTCCGACTAATCGATCTGTTATCTCCTCGTCTTTGATTCCGACTAATCGATCTGTTATATCCTCCTCTCCGATTCCGACATGGTCGATCTGTTATATCCTCCAAGCGGCTCACCTTCGTATTCCTTTGAACGCAGATTCGACGGTAAAGAAGGTTTGTGTTCCTCCTTTTCCTTGCATGTCATTTGCTGTCGTTTGTCATTTAGCTGTCGTTGTTGATCTAACACATCGGAACCTCTCGTATCTTGGATCCTCTCTGATTTGGTCTTTAACGTGTTGTCTTCTAATGGTTTGCGTATTGATTGGTCTTTGTAAATTCTGATTTGGTCTGATAACTCTGATTTGGTCTTTGTAAAACTGAAAACTCTGATTTGGTCTCGGTAAACTTGAAATCGTGTTTGCGTTTTATTTGGTCTTTGACATTTGTTAAAGCCTTAGAATAATTGTATGCGTATTGGTGTATTCATGTGTTTTGTGTAGTGTTTCTCCCTATAAAACTGAAATGGTCTCTGACAGTAGCCAGCTAAATCTTAAGTGTTTATTGACTGATAATGCTTCACTTACTTCAGTTTTGTATGCGTATTGTTTGGTCTTTGACAACGAGCTAAATGTTAAGTGTTTATTGATTGATAATGCATCTGAGAGTTCATATGTGTATGCGTATTTTTTGGTCTTTGACAGCAGCCAGCTATTTGTTAAGTGTTTATTGATTGATAATGCTTCAGTTACTTCATATGTGTATGCGTATTGTTTGGTCTTTGACAGTACCCAGTTAAATGTTAAGTGTTTATTGATTGAGAATGCTTCAATTACTTCATGTTACTGATATCTGCTCTCTCTTTTGATGGTGAGAATGGAGGAGGATCTCAGATCCTTGCTTTCAGTTCACAAAGATCTGAAGCTCCAACTCCACCACTGGAGCATATAGAGAGAGAAAAATGGACCCCTGCAGATGACGAGCTATTTATAAGTGTGTGGCTAAACACATCTAACGATGCTATAGTGGGAAATAAACAAAAGACAGTGACCTTCTAGAAGCGAGTTGGAGATTACTATTCAGCAAGTGCTCATCTTAGAACTGGTGGTGAGAAGAGGGAGCAGTTACATTGTAAGCAGAGGTGGCACAAAATTAATGATCTAATGAGCAATTTCTGTGGCTCATTTGCAGCCGCAGAGAGACTAAGAAGTAGTGGGCAGAACGCAATGATGTACTAAAGGATGTTCATGACATCTACCATTCTGATTACAAGACAAGGTATAACCTTGACCATAGTCTGCTAAGGCATGACCAGAAATGGCTTAGCCTTCACTCTTAAGGCTAGTGGCAGTTAAAAGAATAAAACTGGTGAGGATGGTTCCCAGTCTTCGACCACCAATGTTGGTGATGATGATATCCGGCCTGAAGGTATCAAGGCTGCCAAAGCAAAAGGAATACGGCTCAAGGGAAGGCTCTTGATGACTATAAGAGCATGTGGGAAATCAAGAGGGAGGAATTGGCGATGAAGGATAATACTTGACACACTCTTCTGTAAAACAGGACCACTCAGTGAGGCTGAAGAAATAGTGAAGAACAAGCTTATGGCCGAGTAATTCTGAAACGATAATGATGTTCTAATTATCTTTGAACTTTCTAAGTAGTGAAGATGACTATTTCTGTAATGTTGGTTAATTTACTTATGTTTAATTAAGTTATTTCTGAAACGATTATTATGTACTTCTATTTGCTTCTATGTACTTCATGTTCTTATTCCATGATCAGTTTTGCTATGTATTTTATTTAATCATTGAGTGTTGTATGTTTTCATGTATGTTTGCATTTTTGAGGTTTGTTACCGGAATCAATGCTTATTATGTAGTAATTAATTCCATGATCAATGCTTATTATGTAACAACTTATTCCATCAATGCTTATCTTTCAGGTTAAAGAACAAATGGGACAAGACTACAGCTACACTAAGCCTTCAGAATCAGAGGCGTATGGCTACAGCCTTTACAGTGGCAACAGCCAAAGAGAAACATATATTCTCGAGGATCAGAGCCTTCTCAGTCAGAGCATCTACAACAAAAGAGAAGCACAGCCCATTCATTACCCTCTTCAACCAGAGGTTGAGTTTGGTTTCCCCAAGAGATGCTACTCTGGTGGTGAACCTCTCCTGGATACATCGTACACGAGAAATGATCCAGGGAGAAGGTACATCACATGTGAGAACCACGATTATGGAGAGTGCCATGAATGGAAATGGTGGATGTGGCTGCCATGGAGGAGATGAGAGCCATGGAAACACATAATCGTGTGCTCTCTGAAAAGGTAGACTACCTTACATGTTCTAGTGACTATGAGACCGAACTACAGCAGCTTAAGTTGCTCCATAATGACACTGAGCAAAAGGTTCTTCATCTACAGAAGATAATGTGTGACTTAGGTAAGAAGAAATCAATATTTGAATTGGTTGTTGGTGTGATTGCTTTTGTAATGGTTGTAATGGCTGTGGTGCTCATGATTTAAGCTCATGTACTCGAACATATCTTTTTCTTAACTAAGAGACTCGTGTAGTGTAATGAAACTGATGTAACTTAGACTTTGTCTTTGTCATTTGGTGGGTAATGTAATGTAATGAAACTCAGATATTTGACTTTTTCATTTAAAGAAATGAAACTTAAGTAACTTAGTCATAGTCTCTGATAATTTATTTTGGCAATGTCACGGATGTAAACTGAAGCTGATGTTTTGTTTGTTAGTTCCTCTATCAATTGATGTTATTCATTCATGGATTGTATAGAATCAATTCTCTCCTCTTTCATTTCATGTTTTGTTTGTTAGTTCCACATGAAACCAAGTTGATATCACATGATTCATCCAAGAAATATCACAACTTACACATATTTTATCTATAAAAGGATGAGACATCTTCTCTCATTATACAAACACCATCTCATCTCTCTTGTATTCTCCTCACAAAAATTTTATATGGCATCTTCTTCCCATTATCATTACCACAAAGATGATGATGAGGTTGATGATATGTTTGAATCCGCCTTTGAAGATTTCTTTGAAAACTTTTTAGTTATTCCATACCCGAAAAAGAAAAAAACGAATTTTCATAGAGAGAAACCGGGAAAAAGGCCACAATAAACTCTGGAACAATTATTTTAGTGAAATACCAACATACCCTCAGAATTTATTCCGGCAGCGGTTCCGAATGAACAAGCCTCTTTTCATGCGTATTCTGGATCGTCTCTCTACGGAAATAGAGTATTTTAAACCAACTCAAGATACACTCGGACGGTCTGGTCTTTCACCCCTCCCAAAATGCACTGCAGCAATTCGTCAATTGGCATATGGTGGTGGGGCTGATACAGTTGACGAATATGTCCAGCTTAGGGAAAAAAACGGCTCGAAAATGTTTGCATCGGCTTACCTAAGACGGCTCACGGCAGATGATCTTAAAAGACTACTCCATATCGGAGAACAAGGTGGATTTCCCAGGATGATTGGAAGCATCGACTGTATGCATTGGGGATCGAAGAATTGCTCCACCTATTAGAAATGAATGTATTCACGAGGAACCGACAAACCAACAATTGTGTTGGAGGCGGTAGCTTCATATGACCTCTGGATATGGCACGCGTTTTTTGGAGCTCCAGATACTATGAACGATCTTAATATTCTAGATCGATCACATGTTTTTGATGACATTATTAACGATGTTGCTTTAGAAGTCAACTTCTATGTCAACGAAAGGGAGTACCATTTTGGTTACTATCTCACGGATGATATTTATCCGAAATGGGCCACTTTTATTCAATCAATCCGATTACCACAAGGTCCCGAAAATTCATTATTTGCTAAAACCCAAGAAGCGGTGCGTAAAGATGTTGAGCGTGCCTTCGGAGTCCTACAAGCTAGATTCGTCGTTGATAAAAATCCAACAAATTTATGGGATAAAAACAAAATAGCAAATATTATTAGAGGATGCATCATACTCCATAATATGATTGTCGAAGATGAAAGACATTCATACACTCTATATGACGTTCTAGAATTTCAACACGGAGAAGACGAGGATCTTACATATTCTGTCGATATGGTTACAAATATCAGCAATACGATTCAGCGTCAAACAGAGTTTGAGATTAGCAAACCCATGAACAATTAAAAGCTGATTTGATTGAACATATATGGGCTAAATTTGGACATCTTGCTAATAATAATGTTTAGATTTCTATGAATTCAATCAAATGTTTTGCTTTTATTTATGATGTTTTTATGTTGTATGTTTCTAAATTCCAAATTTTTAATGTCGTCATTGCAATGTTATTTTTCTTTCCAACTTTTTAATTTTGTTATGTTTTCAAATTTAATGTTATATATTTTATTTTTAATACATCTTTAATATTTAGTTACTTATCAAAATGAAAAATTAATTAAGAGATTTTATCAAAGATCTACCAATAATCATCAGATTAGCATTTGTTCCTTAAATTTGTCCTTAGTCAAAAATAATAATAAAATATATTAAAGACCGAAATACAAGTCCTAGCAATAAGATGGTAGCATAGTGTCTTATTAACCCAACCATCATATTACTATCTAAACCACGGGCAGTAAAATGTGCTCATTTACGCTCTTCTCATATCTTACCAAAATTATATTTGTCATCAAACATTGCTAACAATCAAGATTTCATACACATCCATTTCATACTGAAAATGATCTAAAAAGTTGACTAAATAGAGATTTGGATCACAAACCAATACATTTAAAAAAACCCCGCACATCACGCGTTGACCGTTAACAGATCATAACCATGTTTAAAGATAGGAAGTATAACTAAATTTGAGGAACTCGTGTACTATTTATGCCAAATAGAATACCCATACAACAAGAAATTCGATTAGCTAAGAAAACAACAATAGAACAAGAGAGTTTCTTAATAATAATAAAAATTATGAAGAAACTCTCATGTTTAATTCTTTTTCTCAGCCTTGCATCAAGTTCTCTCGCGGTCGACCCGTCGAGTCAGCCAATTTACGAAAGCTTTCTCAAGTGTTTCAGCAACCAAACATGTACAACTCCAGATAAATTATGCGACGTTGTCTTGCCACAGAGCAGTGCAAGTTTCACCCCAACGCTACGTGCCTACATCCGAAACGCGCGTTACAACACTTCCACGTCCCCAAAACCTTTGATCGTAATCGCGGCGCGTTCTGAGGCACACGTCCAAGCCACCGTCCTCTGCACCAAATCTCTCAACTTCCAGCTCAAGACTCGCAGCGGTGGCCATGACTACGATGGTGTTTCCTACATATCTAACCGCCCTTACTTCGTACTCGACATGTCTTATCTCCGTAACATAACGGTCGATATGGCTGATGAAGGCGGCTCTGCATGGGTTGGAGCCGGCGCTACACTTGGAGAGGTTTATTACAACATTTGGCAGAAAAGCAAAAGTCATGGTTTTCCCGCTGGAGTATGTCCCACCGTCGGCGCTGGAGGTCACATTAGCGGTGGAGGGTACGGAAACATGATCAGGAAATACGGACTTTCCGTGGATTACGTCACGGACGCCAAGATCGTGGACGTGAACGGGCGGATTCTAGACCGGAAAGCGATGGGAGAGGATCTTTTCTGGGCCATTAGAGGTGGAGGCGGTGCGAGTTTCGGTGTGATCTTAGCCTTCAAGATAAAACTCGTTCCGGTTCCTCCGACAGTGACTGTTTTCAGAGTGGAGAAAACCCTAGAAGAAAATGCTCTAGACATGGTCCATAAATGGCAGTTTGTTGCTCCCAAGACCAGCCCGGATCTTTTCATGAGGTTACTGATGCAACCCAAGACGAAGAACACAACTCAGACGGTTCGTGCGTCCGTGGTGGCTTTGTACTTGGGGAGACAGAGCGATCTCATGTCTCTGCTAGGCAAAGAATTCCCGGAGCTTGGTCTGAGGACGGAGAACTGCACGGAGATGACGTGGATACAGTCGGTGATGTGGTGGGCCAACAACGATAACGCCACCCTAATCCAACCGGAGATTCTTCTTGAGAGAGAGCCTGATTCAGCGTCTTACTTGAAAAGGAAATCGGATTACGTGGAGACAGAGATCAGCAAAGAAGGTCTAAGTTTCTTGTTCACGAAGATGATGGAGACTGGGAAACTAGGGCTCGTTTTCAACCCCTATGGAGGGATAATGTGCCAAGTTCCTACGACTAAGACCCCGTTCCCTCACAGGAAAAGGCTATTCAAGGTGCAGCACTCAATGAACTGGAAAGATGCGGGGATAGAAGCAGAGAACAGTTTCATGGAAAAGACGAGAAGCTTCTACAGCTACATGGCTCCTTTCGTCACCAAGAATCCAAGACACACGTATCTCAACTACAGGGATCTTGACATAGGGATCAACACTCATGGCCCAAACAGTTATAGAGAGGCCGAAGTTTACGGGAGAAAGTACTTCGGAGAAAATTTTGATAGGTTGGTCAAAGTGAAAACAGCGGTGGATCCGGAAAACTTCTTCAGGGATGAGCAGAGTGTACCTACCTTGCTAACTAAGCCATCCATGAGATAGTTTGAGAGCAGAAGAAGTTGGAGGGATCTTCTCTATTCTTTATTTTTCGGAAGAAAAATTGTTTGATAGCTAAGAATATAAATACATGTTTACGACCAACCAAGTCAGGAATATGTAAGATATATACAAGAATTGATTATATATAATAATAACAAAATATACAAGTCACTTACTTAATTTAGTAAAACCAACAACATGGCCAGAATACGTTGATACTTTACCTTAAGAAAGGACCAACGATAAGTCTACTCAGCATCTACCCTAATGGATTGCTATATGTTTTCCAAAATTACTCTTAGTCAAACTGAGGTCAAACTTATATATGATGAAAAATTACTGGAAGTTTCACAATTAACAAGGAGGTCAAACCCTTTAAAATGCACCAACTAATCAATGTGTCAGATCTGATCTTGCCTTTGCCGGTGAGGATAGTGGTGCGTCGCTGCCTCTTCCTACCTCTCTCGTCTATAGCTTGTACCCGTGTGTCTTTGGTTTCAGCTTTTATCAAGGTCTCAGTGAGCTTCTCCTCTCCCTCTAGGAGAAACGCCGGTGTCTAGGCCGATCGCTCGGAGGGTTTTGAGGACGACCCAGAGCACTACGTCTACTGCGGAGAGACATAGCCGTCGAGTCCAGTAGCTGCGCCTGCTTATTGAGGTGACTTGTGTCTCCTCCTCTACTTCAATCCCTTCTCTAAACTCCGACGAAGTTACTTTGAATCCCCTTGATATCGCCGCCGTCTGTTTGTGTCGCGTGGCCGGATGAGGAGCCATAGACCGCCTGCGCTTGACCTGATTTGTTCTTCATCGTCATCGGGTTTTGTCGGCTATTCTTTTGTTTGTCTTCTGTCGAGATATCTCTTGTCGGGTTACTTGACGTCCTCCTCCTTTGGCGTACCGGAGCCGTTGCCTCCAGGCTGCCGCCTCCGTCGAAGCCGTTAGGAGCCACTTTCGGGTGAGGGTTCGAGCAACTTGTATGAGCTATTCTCTTGATTTTCTAGCTTCACTAAGAGATCGAGAAGCGTTTAGTGTGGGACGTATTGTAGTCAATTGATCTTGTTATCTATTAGCTCCAAGTTCATCTTGGACTAATTTCTTTGTTTTCTAGGGTCTTTTTTAATTTTTTTTTTTTGCAGTCACTAGAAACTGAATGGCTGTGTAGCAGACTCTGGTTTCAATTCCTTTGTAACCAAACCTTCATTTCATTTGATGAATGACATTTACAATTTAGCAACAAAAAAAAATTAATCAATGTGTACTACATTTTCTTACTCGGTTGCTTCTTACATGGCGTCTTCTGGAATCTGGTTTTTGATTGAGCTTCTTCTGATTTCTATTTTGGAACAATTTATAGGTGTTAGTAAGCCTTCGCTCGGAAAAAAACACAATGTATAGGTGTCCCTTGATTCACAAGTCACAACACTTCAAAAGTTTGATGAACTTAAAACATGGCGGTAAGAAACTTATTATACAGATTTAGAGTATAAAATAAATGTCAGAACCAGTTCTGTTCCCACTTTGTACACATCATGAATCTGTACCAGAGAGGACATGGACCGTCGTTAGCTTGAGTACTAAGTGATTATTAAATGGAACTTTAGTTGTGTCTAGTTAACAACCTAAAGCTCTGACCGCCTCATAGTTGTTGATCAAGCTTCAGTCAGTGTACTATGTTCACCGCTGTTACTGCAGTAAATAAATCAGTGACAATGAATCAATTAAAAATCTGAGAGGGGAGATTGCTCCGCTCTGGATGCACCGGTTAGACTCAAAATACAACTGTGGTCCTCCATAAATTAAGGGTTGAAGTCACAATAAGCATGCTATGGTCTCCCATTAATATATGAAAGCTTTGTTTACACCGACCACTTTTTCTACATTATAACAATAACTAATCTAAAAAGCTCCCACTCACTCAAGAATAATTAGGTAAAGTTAATTATATTCTCGAATCCCCGATCCCTACAAACATTTTGATGACATTTGTTTTATCTAAACAGTATACTAACTACAACACCATTTGAAATTAAAATATAATATACTAAACAAAAACCGACTAATTTTACTTTTTTGAACTGGACTAATTTCATGTATCGACAATTTCTTGCTAGAGATATTTACTATTCCATCTATTTCAATTTACTTATCATTAACAAAAACCGACTAATTTCACTTTTTTGAACTGGACTAATTTCTCTTATCGACAATGTTTGCTAAAGATATTTACTATTCCATCTATTTCAATTTACTTATAGTTGTAGTGTAAAATTTTTGTTTCAAAATAAATATCATTTTATGATTTCAATATATAATTTATTAAGTTTTATGTTTTATTATTTATTGGTTAAAATATAGTTAGATTTATAAATAATGATGTTTTTATTTTAAAAATCTATAAAACTAAATATTTTTAATATGTGTATACAAACTTAAAACGACAAATAAAATAACACGAATAGAGTAATTTGTTGGAAACAAATGTGAACTAGAATAAAAGGGTGAACAAGAAGGAATATTTTTAAAACATCAAATAATATTATTAATAAAAATTAAAACTACGGAATTGGGGAATAAAGGAATAATAGAAATGGACATGAGAGGAGAGAGTGGTTTCTTAATCAGGGCCATGCAGCAGGAGCAGGAGCAGCACATGCTCCATTTCTCTAACTCATCGACTTTTTTCTTAACGTTGGTCGATTCTCTAAGATCATCCATCAATACATGTCTTTTCATGTTTACAATATATGCGTGGGAATATCGCGTTCTCTCCTGATATTTTTTTTAGTTTGGATGATACTGACACATGTTGATGCTCTCTCCTTTCAAAAATTTAAATATATGGTTTGGTTTTATTTCTACCAACGATAAAATATTCTGCAGAATATAATATTATCTTAGCATCTATAGGCTACTGTTCTTCTAGATTAAGTGGGAGTTTTAAACAATTTATTTCTTTGTTATTCAAATATAATAGATTCGTTTTCATTTTAACGTTATTTTTCTTACATAAAATCCTACAATTTCAAGCTTTTATAATGGCTTACTAGAAAAAATGACGGAATTCTCCCAAGAAAAAAAGTTACATCACACATACTCGACACGGAACATTTAAACTTGTTTAATTTCTTGGAGTGATTAGAAGAAAGTATATATCACAATCATATACACTTCTTCTAGAAGATGAGCCGTGACAAGTTGTTGAACGCATGCAAGCTACACGGTGATCACAAGTTTACAACCGAGTGATAGATTAGATTCCCAATAGTCGGAGTTTCTGAATTTGTATATATCAGTCTCTTTTGGTTTTGGTTGAACTATGAATGTTTATGTTCTACTATGCATGGTTCTTTTACCAGCTCTCTACTAGAGAGTAGATAATAGAGATGGAAAGTCTTGAGGCCTCCTTCAAAAACCACTCATGGGTATAAACTATGGATATATTCTTAATCAACTCAATTAAATTTTGGATTGGATCTTAATAAAATCTTCCTTTTATAGCAGTGTGCACTGGATGGTGCGGTTGCGGCCACTTTAAGACCAATGAAGCCATAAAACCAGGACAATTATATTCTTTTGGTTTGTTTATATACATCAAGCATAAGCTATAGCGCCACATTTCTTTAGAATTGCATTTTAAAACGCTGATTTGCCATCACTGAGAAGAAAAAACACTTGATACCATCGCATTATGTAAGACAACGCTTTTTTATAAATATACTTAAAAGAAGCTTTAATTATGAAATGTATCACTATATGATATCTATAATAGTTAGCAAACTAATCATATATCTCCATCAACTTGCCTTTGCATATAAAGCCATTATATGTTTTTTGAGCAAAATAAAGCCATTATATGTTACCCCTCTGATTTCGCTAAGAGCATAAAGTTGTAATGTGTTTTGAATCATATAAATAATATACATGACCATGGAATATAAATAAATATCACCTAAGAGGGTACAACTTATTACAGAGAGAAGCGATTCCAAAGGAATATATTTCGTTCTGTCTAATCTTATTCTTTGTTTAAAACCCCTCTCCATGCATTCCTATTGTTTATATATTTATTGCTTCCTCTCTATAAGATTTATGAGTCCTGACCATCAGTCTTTCTAGCTAAGTGAGTAGGCACAGTACGTTGGAGAGAGAGAGAGATAAAGAGAGTTGGAGCAGAGAAATGGGGTTGAGGTCCATCATATCGACCATCACATACGGTTTGTTCCTTGGCTATCCACACAAGAAGCCAAAGGTCAAGAGTGTGAGCCACCTTAACTATTACCACACCATGCCAAAGGCTCGTCCACTTTCTTTACAGGTATTTTAATTAACCAACCTCGGTTTTCATGTATATAGCTAAGTCTCTGGTCGATCCTATAATCATTTGTCATGCAGTAACTAAAAAGTCTAAACTCGATTAGGATAACAATATAACTGTGTCGGTATCAAAACCTTCCTTATGATATGGCTAATCAGTAGAACTCGTTAGCTTTTAGCTCGTTACTTACCATAAGTTCTTCGGATTTCGCAAGAAAACGCTAGATACGAAAAAAATTGGCCGATCAGATTCTCGAAAAAAGAATATTAACGTACTGTGTTCAACTGTTTTGTTATTTTCCCTTGTATGTTTAACCCATGACTTTTTTTTTTTTTTTTATTGATTCGTTAAAGGGAATATCGGACAAAACGGAAGCGAAATGTCATTAGTTTGTCTCACTAGTGGATGTTGCTAATATACCTTTGGCCGATTAAGCATATACATATACAAATGTTCTAAATATTATGTTTGTTTTCTTTAGATATTTATCACATATTAATACTAATTAATCAGTCTGCAAATTATGAATGTTTTGCAACAAAATAGACAATAGACCTAAAAGTGCGGATGTGCTGCAGTGGATGCGAGAGGGTAGTCAAGCATGCCATTTACAAGTTGAGAGGTAATCAAGTGTGTTTTGGAAAAAGAAACTAATAAGTAAAATTATTGAAATTAATTTAACAAAGTAAAACGATGTCGTATTGGTGGTGGTGAAGGAGTGGACTCGGTGGAGGTGAACCTGGAGTTGGAGAGAGTGACGGTGGTGGGGTACGTGGAGAGAAAGAAGGTGTTGAAGGCGGTGAGAAGAGCCGGTAAGCGAGCCGAGTTCTGGCCTTACCCGGACATGCCTCGCTACTTCACTTCCTCTGATCACTACTTCAAAGACACAACCCGCGAGTTCAGGGAAAGCTACAACTACTACCGCCACGGCTACAACCTCAGCGACCGTCATGGTCACATCCACGTCACTAACCGTGGCGATGATAAAGTCAGCAACTTCTTTAACGACGATAACGTCCATGCTTGTCGCCTTATGTAATAAAATGTTTTATGTTTAAGAAAAAAAAACAAGCCAATCATCCTTTAATTTATATGTAATATGTACATATATCTGTTTGTAGTTCTACATGCCGGTGTTAGGGTTAAGGTTAATACATGTTGTATTGTATTGTCTCTAGACCAAAAACATATTATCATTGCCATTGGCGTTCGTTCAAATTGAATGGTGACGAGATATTGTAATCCCTCTTGATATAGTCAATAACCTTATCCAGAACCATATATGCATCTGCATCTACCCTGATACTCACATGACATGTGAGCTTAACTTTTCCTTCTTTCCATAGCCTCATTTTACATTTGTTCCCAATCTACTAACACTAATTTAGAAAAAAAATGATAACGGTAAAATGAATAAATATCAAAACAAATCCATCATATATTGAAGTGTATCTGTAAATATAGATTTTAATATGGTGTAACTATTTTGTTAGTGAATTGAGATGGTCAAATTGTTTATTTAAATAAAAAAGGACAACAAATTAGCAATAGATCCGATTAGGAGTGTTCAAGTTGTTGTATTAAAGAGGTACAAAATTATATGTTGGAGTTCAAAAAGAACTTTAAGATGGGCCTGAAAACTAGATACAAGTGATGGGCTTTTAATATGAAACCTGAAAGATTTTATTGGAGCTACACAATGTATAATATTATATGGTTTGGGCATGAATGAAACCAGAGATTAATAATGAATGAAGAGAATTCAGTTCCATAAATTTTGACCAATTTAATGATTCAACAAGAGAAAACCATTTTTTGTCGAACACCTAGAAAACAGCTCTTCCATTTCTTTTTTCGTTCACACATCTCTTACATTTTTTTAAAAAAGTTTAATAGTATCGAACAACTCGAACCAAAATGCACCTTTCCGATATACACCACATTCCAACGTCATTACTCTTCTTTTTATTAATGTTTTTTCATTAATATATTAGCGAACAACTATTTTATTATCTCGGTCTCTGAAAAAAGAAGAAGGGCAAAACTAGACGTTTACGCAGCTCCAAAGTTTGGTGGTGGTCGAGATCCGGCGTCGACGGGTTTCCTCCTCCTCCGATAATGATGAAGATTCCGAGCGGCGTTGTCGCTTCAGTCATTGCCTTCTCCACGGCTGCTCTCTCTTCTTCTTCATCCGCTATTCCTCCAGCGTCCCCAAAGGTTTCCCTCTTCTTAGCATTTGCGATTACAGATCTGCTCTAGGTTCCTGGTCTCATATGATATATATATATGTTGAATTTTGAAATGAAATGAATGAGCAGGGGTGGGAATCGAGGAAGATGGAGAAAATGGAGCCGAGGTTTGATGGGTCGAGGTTCATAGAGACGCTGGTCACAGCACACAGATAGATTCATTATCACTTTTTGGCCTTTGGGTGCTGCAAAAGCTTTGACACAACACAAAGCGTGAGTGCTGTCACTTGGGGATCTTCTTTTCTTTCTCCTTTGTTGTCTTCTATTTTTATCAAAACGTCTGTCTCTCTTTTTACAAATTACATTTGTGTACTAAGACTTGTATCATTCTTTGTTGCTAAATCGAGAGCAATTTTTGGACTGCGATTCCGTTATGTTGTTTTATTTTCACTTATTGCCAATTTCATTATTGGTGTGTATTTAGCCAAAAAAATGAATAGGGATTGGCATTGATTTGGTGTTTTGAAATCATGGAGTTCTTCAAAACTGGTCGATTTTAAAAGAGCAATTATACCTAGGAGGATTCAGTCAAATTTGGTTTACTTTAATTGGTTTGAAATCACTAGTTGAAACGAATAAGAGTGGAAAGATTGCCCCATATATATATGTTGAGTTGAGTTTTACATTCAAATAGACAGCAGACATGTTCAAAAACGAAAGAGTCTGAGAGTTAGTTTGTCTTTCTCCTCCATGTAGCTGTCTGACTCAAACGCTTAGCAAGTGTGTTGTAATAATAATAAGAGCATCAAGACAAGAATGATCTGTCATGAGAAGTGAGAATCCGAGAGGAAGCAAATTGCAATTAAAACAAGAAAGATGCTCTCTCTCTCTACTACTACTACTCCAGAGACACTGACTTACAGCTCATCCAAACCAACATTACTCACTCTCTTTCTTCCTTTTCATTATTTCTTTATTTACTGTTTGTTTGTTTGCTTTGAAATATTTAGTGAATCCTAACGCTCTGGTCCCATCCTTGCCTCCTCTATCATCTATCTCCCTACAACCACTCACTACTCTCTCTCTCTCTACTCCCTCACTTCTATCCATGGCGTCTTCCCAGATCCCGTTCTCTCTCTTGTGCGTTGCTCTCCTCTTCTTCTCTCTTCCTCTCATCGTCTCCTCCATTGGCATCAACTACGGCCAGGTTGCAAACAACCTTCCTCCCCCCAAGAACGTCATCCCTCTCCTCAAGTCTGTAGGCGCCACCAAAGTCAAGCTCTATGACGCCGATCCACAAGCCCTCAAAGCCTTCTCCGGCTCCGGCTTCGACCTCACTGTCTCCCTTGGCAACGAATACCTCGCCCAAATGAAAGACTCCGACAAAGCCCGTGACTGGGTGAAGCAAAACGTCCAAGCTTACCTCCCGGGCACCAAGATCGTTGCCATCGTGGTCGGCAACGAAGTCCTCACCTCAAATCAGTCAGACCTTTCAGCCGCCCTCTTCCCAGCGATGCAGAGCATCCACGGCGCTCTGGTAGACTGTGGCCTGAACAAGCAGATCTTCGTGACCACGGCGCACTCCCTAGCCATCCTCGACGTATCATACCCTCCATCAGCCACATCTTTCCGCCACGACCTCCTGGGAACCCTCACACCCATCTTGGACTTCCACGTCAAGACTGGCTCCCCCATCCTCATCAACGCCTACCCTTTTTTCGCTTACGAGAGCAACCCCAAACACATTTCTCTTGACTTCGTCCTCTTTCAACCAAACCAAGGCTTCACCGACCCTGGCTCCAATTTCCACTACGAGAACATGCTCTTCGCCCAGGTCGACGCCGTCTACCACGCCCTTGACGCCGTCGGCATCAGCTACAAGAAAGTCCCCATCGTCGTTTCCGAGACCGGGTGGCCCTCCAACGGCGATCCAGAGGAGGTTGGCGCCAACTGCGACAATGCACGCAAGTACAATGGGAATCTTATCAAGATGATGACGAGCAAGAAGATGAGAACACCCATTCGACCTGACTGCGATCTCACCATCTTTGTCTTTGCTCTCTTCAATGAGAACATGAAGCCTGGGCCTACCTCCGAGAGGAACTACGGTCTCTTCAACCCTGACGGAACTCCGGTTTACTCCCTAGGGATTAAGACCTCTTCCAGTGGTGGTAGTAGTAGTAGTGGCAGCAAAAACTCTACCGGTGGAGGTAGTAGTAGCGGTGGTGGTAGCAGTGGTGGCTCACCCGGTGGTGGTGGCGGCATCTATACGCCTGGGATCAACGAGAACCCTTCACCGGATTACATGTCCATTTCCTCGGCAAGGGTAAACTTTTCTACTTTTCACTTGATCTGTTGTTTTGCTTCTATCGTTTTACATTTAGGTATAGTGGGTGATTACTGCTAAATCATTTACTTAGACGAAGGAACTAGTTTCTTTTTAAAAGTGTTTACAAGTAGGAAAGAAAATCAAGAGCTAAAAGAAATTACGAAGATCGAATAAGGAGGCTGTAAATTTATTACATTGCGCGAAAAGTTAGTGACTTTCGGTTAAAGTTGGAATCTTTTTTCTAAATTTGCCAAACTGTGACGGTGTGTGAAAAAGGTGTGCTAATGTGTTTTTGTACTGGCTATCACGTGGAGATGACTCTTGTTTGGTCACTTTTGTCTGAAAAATAATTGAGAATGAATGCCTCTCTTTTTGACTTGTTGACCTTTGTTAAAAAAAAACTAGGGAGTGAGTGACATAAGCATATTTTGTGTTTTGGTTGTTGACCGTTGTGCAGGGAAAAGGCAGATTCGTTGAGTGTGTGTTCTTCTTCCTCTTGCTTTGCATCATCAAGCTTGGGATGTAAAAGCTTCAACCACTAGATCTCGGCTTTGTACACCTTTAATTGGGGTGATGACGTGAAATTGCCCCCAAATTTTATTTTATTTAATTAGTTTGTTATGTTGGTGTTTGGTCGGAAACCTATTTTCTGAATGGACCGTGGATTTAGAAAACTCACCATCTTTGTTGTGCCTACCTCTCGTCTCTTCTACTTTTTTCTCTCTCTCTTTTGAAGCATAGATATTAAAATAATGAAAGCTTAGTTGATTAAATTTTTCTAATGATGGAGGACGACCTTCTATGATCATAACTTGGAAGACATTTGAGACATTGCAGCAGACAATATGTCGGCACAATTTTCTTTTGAAAAGGAAAACAAGCGTATGTCCTTCAATAAATATCCTTACCATTCAAATTCATTTCCTCAAACTTTAATGCCTTATATGACCAATCAATCCAATATGGTCCACCAACCATTCAATGAAAACTCTTCCATTCAGTGAAAACTCTTCCAGCTCAATTCTTAAACCAACCATACACTATATCATTTCATTGTGCTGTTACATTTGATTGGACAAAGATAGACTTCAGATCCAACAAAGGCAATAAGGCACATGTCTACACAAAGTTTGCCTACTTTAAAGCTACTTGCTTACTTAACCTACTTTTCTAATCAGGTCATTTTGTTGATAATATGATCAGACTCAACATAAGTATAAAGCAAGAAACCTTGTAAAGAGAAGCCAAATTACCATATAAGTCCTGATAATGGTATCGTTTACTCTCAATCATCATATTAGACAAAAGTATGCATCAGTTTCCCACTGATGAGCTACGATTAAAACTCGTTTTTGAGTTACAACACCTCAACTGCAGTCTCTTCTTCACCATCAACAACAATGTATATGCATCTTTAGACTTCGAGGGTCGCAAACTGGCTGGTAACAACACTAGTCCACATCCCTTATTATATATTAGTTGAAAAGTATTAAATATATAATGCTAGTCCACAAAACATGTGAGCTATCTCAATTCTAATCATTTAATTTTAGAGTTCTTACAGAAATAGTTTGGTCAATCTAAACATATACTATAGCTCTCATTAAAATAACCATAAAATGAGTTAGTAAATTTAAAAAGAAAATACATTCTCTCTTTCATTAAATAAAAACTAGGGAATGACCTATTGTGATTAATACATATTAGAAAATAAATGATTTTGAACATAAAAATTTGATAAATGTATCCTCTATCACATTATTATAACTTCGAATCATAGTTCCTTGTAGAGGTAGGCCCAAGTTTCATGTTGGTAAATGTTATATTTATAATCTTTAATATACACGAGAAAATACTTTATACCATATCTATATTTTTTTGTCTAGTAACATTGGTTTTTTGGTAAAATGTTAAGAATGTCTAGTGACATTTAGATATAACTTTGACCATTTAACAGATTATAATCAAATTATTGTGCTATCAAAAAATATACAACACAAGTAATTTCTAGCAAAATATTACTAAATTATTAATGAACACAACTTCGATGTTAAATCTAGCCAAATGTCACTTTTTAATGAAATCATACAAGTTTGAAAATAGTTTATTGTTAGGAAAAGATTTTTAACATTGCTTTACATCTGTAAATCTAAAAATGGTGTTTATAGTTTTTTTTTTATCACAAACAATGTTGCTGTTTAAAGGAGCAACAGAACATAATTTTGTTTGAAATTTAAATGTTATATAAAAAATTTAAACTGTCAAAGATATATTTTCAATATTTTTACGATTTATTTCTTCAAAATTAATCAAGGAAAATATGTGTAGATGATGAGTGGAAACCACAGCGGTGGAACCAACAATTTTTTTAAGTGGAGTCAATATACTGTTTAAGAGAAAAAAATCAAAGAAAAAAATGTTTTTAACATTTCTTTACTTTGTAAATAAAAATGGTGTTTATAGTTTTTTCACAAACAGTGTTGCTGTTTAAAGGAGCAACACAACATAATATTGTTTGAAATTTGAAAGTTATATACAAAATTTAAAATGTTGAAGATACATTTTCAACATTTTTACGACTTTTGTTTTCAAAATTGATCAAGAAAAATGTGTGTAGATGATGGAGCCGTCAGCGGCGTACCAACATCTAAAATATCTAAAATATTAAAAGAAAAGTACTAATAGAAAATAACCCTAATTTTTCTTAAAAAATTACATTTCATGCCACTGACCTAAACCATCATCTATACTATTAAAACAGATGACTGTTTTGGTTTCTGCCCTTGAACTTTCTATGAAATTACAAAACATTTCATTTCACTTCCTTTTTAAACGAAATCGTGGGCTGAAAATAACAAATAACTTCAAACAGCAAAGCCCAAACGAAATGGGCTTCGAACATCAATACTTAATTCATATTTATAATTCTGTTTTTAAAACAAAATGGTTTCAAACCCTATTTAGTAACCCTATTGATATTTACAATTCTATTTAGTAACCATATACCCTAAACTTTAATCAAACCCTAAACCCTATTTCGTTTCATATTTGCTTTGTACATCATCCTTCCCAGCATCATTGCATGATCCTGCTAAATACATAAGAACAACACCTTTACACATGAACCAAACAATATCAAATATCTATATTTATTTTCAAAATCATATATTTTTGGGATATTTATTCAAAACATATTACATTTACACATGAACCAAACAATATCAATAACCAAATTCGGTTTTCAACCTCATAAATTGTCTGGATATTTATTCTTAACATATCATTGAATATTCTCTGTAATTGAATATTCTTTTTAATTGTTACCAACAATAAATTACGAAAATATATATGTGTAGAAATAAAAGTATAAAAACAGAAACCAAAAGATTTGCTAACTAATTAATTATATTTTCCAAATTTGCCAAATACTAATCCTAAAATTTATTCTTAACATATCATTGAATATTCTTTGTAATTGAATATTCTTTTTAATTGTTACCAACAATAAATTATGAAAATATATATATGTGTAGAAATAAAAGTATAGAAACAGAAACTAAAAGATTTGCTAACTAATTAATTATATTTTCCAAATTTGCCAAATACTAATCCTAAAATATATTCTATACACAAAATAATCTATTCTGTTCAAGTTTATTTATGGATTTCCCAAATACTAATCATAATCAATATTCGATACTAAAGAGAATATCCCCAAACTTTCTCCCCAAGTTTCTACTAAAACCTAACCACTTCGCTTAAATCTGCTTTATATATAAATAGACAGCACCCTATTCATGTTCCAACCCACACCTTCGAACAAACCAGTAAACAAAACTATGGCTACTAAAATGCAAATCCAAGCATCAAGAGGTTCTAATGATAAAGTGGTCCTTTTACACGACTTGAAACCATGGAAAAACACATGGTTGGTTCATGTAAAGGTTCTACATNTAAACAAAACTATGGCTACTAAAATGCAAATCCAAGCATCAAGAGGTTCTAATGATAAAGTGGTCCTTTTACACGACTTGAAACCATGGAAAAACACATGGTTGGTTCATGTAAAGGTTCTACATGCTTGGAAACAAAACATTCAATCCGTGGAGACCATGGAGTTCGTTTTCGCTGATGAGACTGTAAGTTATTTTTCATGTATTTATCATTCCGTTCTTTATCATTGTTTCGAGTGTTATTTGATGTTTCTATATTTTTGTTTTACATGATTAAGGGGCAAAAAATCCATGCAACATGTAAAAGGACTTACATTGAAAGTAAGACAAGACTTCTTACAGTTGGAGCATGGCGCTACCTCCGGAATTTCCAGATTACTCCTGCTGGTGGAGCTTATCGAACCACAAATCATTCATGGAAGATGGTTTTCAATCAGAACACGGCTGTTACGCGATCTAATAGAGTTAATGAACATTTGTACCTGTATTTTGCCGACTTTCAATCTGTTTTGTCTGGAAGTCTGGATGACAATTTATTGATTGGTAAGCATAAATTTTTTTAGATGTTTCATGCTATCTCGAGTGTATTATATACTAATGTAAACATATACCTGTTTTTTCAGATGTTCTTGGACAAGTTATGGATTGTGGTCCAGTCGAAACCATTCAGTGTGCTGGAGGAAAGCAACGAAAAAAGCTTGAGTTAACTCTAACCGACATAAAGTAAGTCAAAGCGCTTATGGTGTGCTCATTAACCAAGATTATATCACTGACCATATCTTAACTTATATTCGTAGTGATTCACGTTTACCCTGCTGCNAAGTTATGGATTGTGGTCCAGTCGAAACCATTCAGTGTGCTGGAGGAAAGCAACGAAAAAAGCTTGAGTTAACTCTAACCGACATAAAGTAAGTCAAAGCGCTTATGGTGTGCTCATTAACCAAGATTATATCACTGACCATATCTTAACTTATATTCGTAGTGATTCACGTTTACCCTGCTGCATCTGGGGCAACTTGTCCGAGAAACTCCATTCTTCAGTTAACCAAGAAGATGGAATGGTTACTATGTTGCTGAGGTTTGCTAAGCTTGGTAAATTTAGAGGTACATATTTACACTCAGTCCATTTTGATACAAACCAATTCTGCATAAAAGATTCATTTAGATTTATCGTTTTTTGTACCTTATAGGAGAATTGCAGATCTCTAATGCATTTGATGCTTCTCTAATGCATTTGATGCTTCTCAAATGATGATCAACCCTCCAATACCTGAAGCTGAAGCATTTAAGGAATTTTAATTAGTATTCTCTATCTTATTTATGACACAGAGACTACTAATATTACTGTTAAATAACTGTCTTTGAAATTGTAACAGGATCAATGAGTCTGAAAAAACTCTAACATCTATCCAGAGTAACAAGGATAGTCATGAGGACAGCAACACCCAAGTTGGTCAGTTACTGACTCGAGGACATCGTGATAAGTGGTTGCTCTTTCCCACTAAGAGAATTTTCGAAATGATAACATCAACTCAAGTAAGAGTTTTTATGAGTCATTTACGAGTTACACCATTGTTGATATATTTAAAGAGATGATTTTGATAAATGCATTTTATCTGTAGGTTGATAGATGCTTGGTGAGTTGCACAGTGGATGCCATTGATATGGATTGGTCATGGTATTATTTTGGTTGTAAAGCTTGCAACAAAAGAGAGATCAAAACTGGAACCAAAGTTAAGCTCTTGAATGGTAAAGAGATCATTACTCATATTTGGTGGTGTGAGACATGCAAAGACAATGTCTTTGAAGTTTCACCAAGGTTTGATTTTAAATTAATTTGATACTGGCTATGTTTCACAAACTTACTTCAGGTACATATTATATCGCATATATATATAATATATGTAATACATAGTTATGCTCCTTTGTACAGATTCTGGCTGCACTTGATTGTTAGTGATGATACAGGTGTCTCGAAAATAATGATATTAGATAAGGTTGCTAATGGGATTGTTCATTTCAGAATTTGAGATTGTTCGGATCACACGGACAACTATATGTGGCTGTCTCCACTCTCCAGAGTGACTTGTAAGAAAGGTTTGAAGATTTTTATTGTTCACAGCGAAGGCAAGCCTCAACGCAAAACAAAGAACATGGTCTTTAGAGAGGTTTTCGATACTCTATGATTTGAAGTTTTTTATTAAGTTATTTAGAACTATAAAATCTAAATTTTTGGTTATTTATTTTGACTCGCGTATTGGTTCTATATTACTAAGTTTATCTTAAATTGTTTTCGAACTTTTGGAAAAGTTCGATACTTAAAAGGATTCTAAAATTTTGATTCATGATAAGGAAAACACAGAATTGATGAGGCTCGAAAGCCTCAGTACCTTGCAATGACTGTTTCNTTGTTTTCGAACTTTTGGAAAAGTTCGATACTTAAAAGGATTCTAAAATTTTGATTCATGATAAGGAAAACACAGAATTGATGAGGCTCGAAAGCCTCAGTACCTTGCAATGACTGTTTCTAACAAAATAACACATTAAATGCCAGAAAGTCAGATGCCAGCTTCATCTCTATAAATCTTTAACATACACTGCACTCAATTGTAGGAAAGAGCTACACTGCAATCAAGATTCATCAAACAAACTTCCGGATTATTTTCCTAACTACCAGTTTAAGTTCGAACTCTAATTACTAGGATGTGAAGAAAGCAGAAAATGCACTTACTGTGGTTTGTATTCCTTTGCTGTAATATCGAATATCCCATGTCCTTCAAATGATTAAAGCTCCTTCTCTATTAAAGGAAGTGCTCGACCTACACATGAAACATGTCTATACTATTAAGTAAACTCATTATTGTATAAAACTTACATGTTTCTCATGTATAAGCAAAAAAATAAGCTAAAGTCGGAAACTTATCTGTTTACTGCTCTATCTCTGATAATAGTGTCTCATTATATCACCTGAAAACAAAACGCAATTATATGAACAGCCTTTTATGCTACTGGAAAAGGAAATTCTGAGAAGATTGTTAGGAAATCATTCTAATCTAACCTGAATAAGAAATATAGAAAAAGCAACGTGTATATTTAGAATTTTGTCTCATGTCCTCATCAAGAATGTAGATATGTCTCAAAAACCTTGACTTCTCAATCTGCCTCAAGTCCATCATCATATTGTTGTGTATCAGAGTATGAAGATAAAGAAAATAGATTAGATATATTTTTTTTGTATTCTACAAACCTATATTGTTAAAACAGATTTATTATTCAAATATAATAGATTTAATTGGAAATAGCCGTGTATATTTAGACCAGAAAACAAACCGTTTAATTCTTTCTCATAATTTCTTTCGGACAAACGATTTTAAATTAAAGGATATTGTACAAAACATATTATTAAAAAGTACATCGATTATCCTAAACAAACCTTTACATCGAGGTTATGTTTATGTCTTTCCTGGTCGATCAAGCTCTGGATGTTTTCCAGATCGATTTCACCGAATTTCACACCCAAAACAAATCAAAATAAAATATACATTGATGGTAAGTTCTTTAAATTAATCATATTTAACCGAATTTCACATGAGATTACCTATACCATTTCGTTGTATAGATCGGAAAGGCTCATCTCTCAGTCTTCGATTTATCCTTCTCGATTCAGATCTTGAATTAGACGAGATCTGTAAAAGAATGAAATACAAAGCTTTTTAGGTATTTACGAAATTTCAGATTTGTTAAATTTTTTTTCACAATCAATTCTATTTTATTCTGTTGTATTTTCTACTTACTATAAGATGAAGTAACCTTTTTCCTTATCTTTGGTTTGCATAATTGGTTCACATAGGCACTAATTACAAACGTGGACTTTGATTATGAAATGCCGTAATTTGGTTTTTATTTATAGGGAATCTTTTTTATATAACATGGAAATGAATTTGAATATTCGTGTTACAATTTCTGTCATTACAAACGACAAAAGCAGACTCATTCAAAATTCAAAAGTTCAGCATGTTGTTGTTTCGAGTTACAATAAACAAATCATGATCCTTAACGTCTCTTATTTTCTTTTTGGGAACCTCCAATCTTCGGACCGTTGAGTAGGGAGGAATGGGATGTTCGTGGTCCACATGAAAGCATTTTTCTCATGAAGAGAATTGGTAATCTTTTATTTTCTCTATCTATTCACCCGTTATTTAAACTTAGTTTCTTGTAAAATCAATCAGATAAAGTTGGTCCTGCGAAACAATCGTGTTTAGTTTACACAATCAAAGTGTATGTTCAACCAATTAACTTTCACCACACAACTTATGGGCAAAAAGAAACAAATGGACAAATCTATTACGTATATGAAGAATAAAAAAACGACACCACGTCGTTTCTACAGAATCAAATTAAACGTCATGCCGTTTACACGTTTAGGGTCCTCTAGGTGTGTCTTCTGAAGAAAACGCCACGCCGTTTTAACTTGTTACTTTGTGCAAAGACCAAACCAAGCCGTTGGTAAAAGAAAAAAGAAAATCCCCTTCCTTATATAAACCGCGTACGTCCCTTAACTTATTTTAATCCACAGACCCAAACACTCCCAAATTCTATTTCCTCGACTTAAAATTCAAATCTCTTCGTTGCTAACCGTCGCAGATCTATTCCTACAGGTGTAAAATCATCCGGCGGAGATATCCGATCTAGCCGATCTGCTACCGTATTCTCACCGCAGCCTTAGGAGAAAGAAGGAAGATGGAGAATCTGATATCTCTAGTTAACAAGATACAGAGAGCTTGCACGGCTCTGGGAGACCATGGAGACTCTAGCGCCCTCCCAACTCTCTGGGATTCCTTGCCTGCCATTGCCGTCGTTGGTGGTCAGGTTTGAATCTCGATCCCCTATAGTTTGCTTCAAGATCTATCTCCCGATTCGTGACATTCCTGAGATTGATACTGAGTAGGGGAATTGAGATTCTCTTGATCGTAGAGTTGAATAGCATAGTACTATGTGTTAGCTTTGCAAGCCATATAAGATTTGTCAAGTGTGGACTTGGGTTTGACTTGGATATCTTCTTAAATCATAGCAGATTTAGTCTCGTAGCTACTGATGTTTGGTGTTGTGTGGAGGGGTTCTCATATGATTAATTTACTTTTTTTTTTGTTGCATTAACAGAGCTCAGGGAAGTCTTCAGTCCTGGAGAGCATCGTAGGAAAGGACTTTTTGCCCCGTGGATCTGGTAATCACAACTTCTTGCCTTGTTTTCAAGTCGCTTGTTCCCTTGTGTAATTTTTTTATTTAAATTGGTGAAACTGTGGGTAGGTATCGTTACTCGAAGGCCCCTTGTCTTACAGTTGCAAAAGATTGATGATGGAACTCGGGAGTATGCTGAGTTTCTTCACCTTCCGAGGAAAAGGTTCACCGATTTTGGTGGGTGCACTTGTCTCATCATTTGTACTTTCAGCTTCACCTTCTCCTATTTTTGCTTACCTTATTGACCCTCTGTAGCTGCTGTGAGGAAGGAGATTCAAGACGAGACTGACAGGGAGACCGGACGCAGCAAGGCTATTTCTAGTGTTCCCATTCACCTTAGCATATATTCTCCCAATGGTTAGGATATAACTCTAAACGTATTTCTAATTTTATTTGCTTTTTTGGCCTTGGAATGTCATGCTAAGTTTTTACCCTCTTTGCCATGTGTGCAGTTGTCAACTTGACTCTGATTGATCTTCCAGGGCTTACAAAAGTTGCTGTTGGTAAGTCACAGTTACTGCACTCCTTGCAAGAACAGTAGAGCAAGGATTTTAGGTCTAATGAGCACGAGGCAATAGAGTTTATTCTTTATCGTAGAGTGTATAACAATGACACGACTAACTTCTTTTGGTTGATGCAGAGGGACAATCTGAAAGTATAGTGAAGGACATTGAAAACATGGTCCGGGCCTACATTGAAAAGGTAATAGGAAATCCTTAGTTGCAGACCCTTTTAGATTTGATCGACAGCTTATTGCCATTTTCTGTGGAGCAAACTAGTTGACATGTTTTTAATCAAATTTCCTTACAGCCCAACTGCATCATTTTGGCAATTTCACCGGCAAACCAAGATCTTGCGACATCAGACGCAATTAAAATTTCCCGTGAAGTTGATCCCTCTGGTAACTATTTTGCAAACCTTTCATTTGCCACCAAAGATACCCGACGCGTTATGCGGTCATCTTATACTCTTTGTAATCCTTACAGGGGAGAGAACATTTGGTGTCTTGACAAAGATTGATCTTATGGACAAGGGGACCGATGCAGTGGAAGTAAGTTGCCTTACCCTAATAAAGCTATTGTGTAAGCTGCAATTACTTGGCTTGAAATGCTTTGGAAATGCATAATGTTTTTTTTATAAATAGGCTTATGATATGAAGTTCGAGCTACATCATGCTAATTTTTGTAGTAACATAATTTATATGTTTCCTAATTAACGGTTGTGTTCGCTGCTACTTACCAAATGATGTTTTTTTTTCCTCAGATTCTGGAAGGGAAATCTTTTAAGCTGAAATATCCATGGGTTGGTGTTGTCAACCGCTCTCAAGCAGATATTAACAAGAATGTGGACATGATTGCGGCTCGGAGAAGAGAGAGGGAGTACTTTTCCAATACTACAGAGTATAGGCACCTTGCACATAAAATGGGTTCCGAGCATTTAGCAAAAATGCTCTCCAAGGTAAGGGCTAAGAGAATGATGTAGCTCTATATACGACCATCATCTTCAAGAGAGTCTAATGTTACAACTTTTTGTTGTTGTTGTATGAACAGCATCTAGAACATGTAATCAAGTCAAGAATTCCAGGCATCCAGTCGCTTATTAACAAAACAGTGTTAGAGCTGGAATCTGAACTTAGTCGCCTTGGAAAGCCTATTGCAGCTGATGCTGGGGTAAGATTGTTTATTCTGTTGTCTTCAATTTGTATTACTAGATATCAAGATTTTAATTACTGTTTTGGTGCAGGGGAAGTTGTACTCAATAATGGAGATATGTCGGCTTTTCGATCAGATTTTCAAGGAGCATCTAGATGGAGTGTATGTTTTGGACATTTTTGCTACTGTTACTTATAAAATTAAACCATGAGTTGTGTGTTACAAAAAAAAAGAAAAAAAAAACAGGCACAGAGTTGTTACAGTGTCTTACTTGATTTGACTCATGACCAATTTATAATTATAGAAAAAATGTATTTACAATTCTGTGCCTGTGGTTGATGATGACACAGGCGTGCAGGTGGTGAAAAGGTGTATAACGTGTTTGATAACCAGCTTCCGGCGGCTCTGAAGAGACTTCAATTTGACAAGCAGCTAGCAATGGACAACATCCGCAAGCTGGTCACTGAGGCTGACGGTTACCAACCTCACTTGATTGCTCCTGAGCAAGGTTACCGTCGTCTCATTGAGTCTTCTATAGTATCCATCCGAGGCCCTGCTGAAGCATCTGTTGATACTGTACCAGCTCTAACTTTCATCTCTATTATAAAATGCATCAGTAACATAACTAAGACAGGACAATAATGGTCTCTCTAATTTTTTTTTCTTTGCTTGGTTTTTTAATATTACCAGGTTCATGCGATCTTGAAGGATCTCGTTCACAAGTCTGTGAATGAGACGGTGGTACGTTCTCTTCTTCTGTTAGTAATATGTATATACAGTATCCCAGGACTTTTTTTACTTTGGTCCATTGTTATAGAGAAGTAGAATATGTGCAGGAATTAAAGCAATACCCAGCTCTGAGAGTGGAGGTGACAAACGCGGCCATAGAGTCGTTGGACAAAATGCGGGATGGAAGTAAGAAAGCAACACTGCAGCTGGTGGACATGGAGTGCAGTTACCTCACTGTTGATTTCTTCAGGAAGCTTCCCCAAGATGTTGAGAAGGGTGGTAACCCCACGCACTCCATTTTCGACCGCTACAACGACTCCTATCTCAGACGAATCGGTAAGTCAGAGCATATCCTTTATATTTTTATTCTGATGCAGTATCTATACATTTTCTACCTCACACACCTGGCAACAGGATCGAATGTTCTGTCTTACGTGAACATGGTCTGTGCTGGACTGCGAAATTCAATCCCCAAGTCCATCGTCTACTGCCAAGTCCGAGAAGCCAAGCGCAGCCTCCTCGACCATTTCTTTGCTGAGCTCGGTACCATGGACGTAAGTTTCTCTCCTGCCTTTTGTCTTGAGTGTATATGTGGCTAAACTAGTGACTAAAACAAAAGCTGCTGGTGAATTCCATTTTCAACAGATGAAGAGGCTATCTTCACTTTTGAATGAGGATCCAGCGATCATGGAGAGACGAAGCGCCATATCTAAGAGGCTGGAGTTGTACCGAGCTGCTCAATCGGAGATAGACGCAGTCGCTTGGTCCAAGTGAAACGAGCATCACATACCGATTGGTCAGTGTGGTTCAGAGCAGGAAGGGACATTTAGGTTGTGTAAGATGATCTTCCCTGGAAGACGATATCATGCCATGTCATTTTATTACTACATAACAACGTTTGTTTTGCTGCCTCTTTGTTTATGTTCGTTTTTGGCTATCATTCAATATGCCTGAGCTCTTGCTTGACATATGGACGATATTGCTTATTATGTAGAGAGATGTTCAATCTCTTAGTGTGATTATTAAAATCTTTTTTATTATTCAATCTTTTTATTTTTTTAAATGTGTGTTCTCATATCCTTTCCTTTCGTGTATGTTGCTATCAATAATAGTTTAATGTTTTTCTCAGCCGGCCAATGTATGTATGTAGGATTGCAGTCAAAAGATTAAGGGAACCTGTGGCCAGAAAAGATTTAGTTCAGATATGTGTAGCAGCTGTTATGTTGTGGTTCAAAATATACATACATAGTAGAGCGTGTGACCGTCAAGGAGAATAAACCGGACCAGACCTGATAACCGAAAAATTGATTTGGTTCTCGATAGAAAGCGGTTTGCCTTTCCAATATTTTGTGGCCATTCATTATCTTCATCATTTCAGACACTCTCTCTGCATTCAGCTCACAGAGAGAGAGAGAGATGGCGAGTTCCATTTCTTCAATCTCAACACGTTTTTGTTTCATCCCCAACAACAATGGTAGTCACAAACCAAACCCATGGCTCTATCAACCATCGATAAGCTCGCACAGTCTCATATTCTATTCAAAGCATCATCATCGTCCACTAGCTTCTTCCCAGATTCCCGTCGTAGAAACTGATAAAGAAGACGACAAAGATGACCCTACTTTCAGGTACCTTTCTTTGCCTCTCTTGTTTTTCATTGCTTGGCTTTCCCATCTAAATCCAGGTTCGGGATTTTTATATTTTTGGAATTGGGTAAATAATCGAATCCTATGTAACTGAGGTCTGGTGTTTAGCCAAAAGATGAATTATAAGTGGTTAGACTAATTGCAGATTGTAAGCATACTTTGGTCTTTAGCTAGCTACAGACACTAAAACTAACCTCAGGAATATGAATTGTGTTGAACAGTGGTTGCAGAGGATGCGGAAGAGAGGTGAAAGAGAGTGGTTGCAACGGCGATGGGCGGATTCAAGGAGGTATTGCCACTGTCCCTGGCTTCGGTTGGTGGCCCATTAAGGCTTACCGGCCTTGTCCCGGCTTTGTCGAGGCTGGAGGTAGATACCGTCGCATAGGGCAGAGCATGGACGAGGTTGCCTTTGGTCGTGGTGACTCTAAATCCTCCACCGATTCCTAGCTAAGGATAAGGTATGTTTTAATAAAAATAAATTAAAGGAAAGAATTGCGAACATAACCAGTTTTTCAATTAAGCAAACATTACAAAATAAACGTTTAAATAAAGTTTTGCACAAAACATGTTTTAACTATAAGTTTGAAATAGTCTTGCAGAGGGATGATCTCTTGTGTTGTTTTCTTTTGCAGTAAAAAAAACAAGGCAAAGTCGTAGCAAGTTCAACAAATGAAATATTCAAAGTCTTAAGTGCATACCAAGAAAGACTTTTTCTTTTTCTTATTTGTAATCAAGAAAGACTTTCCAATTCACATTCACTAGACTTTCCGACATCTAGAAATGTTGGATGATTGTGGATTGCGTTATATGTGAAGCTAAAAGACCCAAGCCCAAACTCAAAAAAGTTTAGCCCATGGCGTACAAACACACACATACACGTGCATGGTTTATAAGACGCATCAGAATCCATTCCACGCGTTCAAGGTAAGTGTGAAGGAATACAGAGACAAAACACGAAGCACCATACACATGGTTCAAAAGTCTCCTTGTCCGACAACCAACATTATCTAATCTCTCCACTTCCGACACTCCACGTTGCCTTTTCTTTTTATGATGCCCCTGACATTTTCTCCCTAATTGGTTGTATGGTCAGAATCTCGCACAAAAGAACAAAAAGTTATTGCCGACCAACCAACGAAAAAATAAACTGTTGTATCTCTCTCGATATGCTCATGTTACACTTTTTAATTATGGAGTTCCATTTTTCTTAACGCGTTTTCCTTTCTCTCGACTGATAACTTGTCAATTTGCTGTTTCAACTAATCTTTCTCATATTTTGTGTTTTGTTAACTTCTTATATATTAGTGTTACAAAAAAAAAAAAAAAACTTCTTATATTTTAAGAAAATGTTTTTTGTTTGTTCCTAAATGGTCGCTTCGAAGAAAATTTTGTATACAGAAACAACTGTTCATGAAGTTGGATTCAATTGATAACAGAGAGAGTACACAAAATGTATAAAGAACTAACAAATTAATTCATTATTCATTTGTTCTTAGCCAAAACGCAAATAGCTATGAATAGTATAAATGACAAGAGAAGAGCAACAAGAGGCAACAAATAGGTAATACATAAATGGATCAAGTTCATTCTCATTTAGGCCAGTTTTGGGTGTACACATGAAACTTTATTTACTTTACAAAACACACAAGTGAAAGAAGATATGATCGCTCTGTTCATATCCCCACCTCACCCACGGAAATATAGCACATCTTCTATCTAATTTAACACTTCCTTTCTCTTGTAAAATATTTTAGAAACGTAAACCCGAAAACTGTATAAACTAGTACCATTTTCTTGAGACAATTACTAAGAATACTCATCATATATAGGATGATATCCCTCTCTCTCTCTCTTTTGGATATGATAAAGGAAACTTTAGTGTGTCTTCATGTTTTTATCCCAGCCCAACAAATTCAAGGGTTTTGCTCAGCAAAAATGTCCAAAAGAGAAAGCACCTGCCAAAACCATGAAACATTCATCATCAGAACCAGAAACTTAAAAGAGAAAGAATACACATATCAATAAGTTATTACTCCCTATGTAGTTCCCGTTCCCCTATTTCACTCTAAGTTTTTTTCATTAAGAAAAACATTAAATTTCATGTTTTAACCCTAATCTAAATAAATGCATTGAAAAAACAGCACTTAAAATGAAACAAATTTTAATCTCTATTAATCAAGGAGGAGTATGTTTAAGCATACCTCAGGGACGCTGAGTTCAAGGCGGAATTTAGGGCCGTCGTAGTGATGCAGAATGGGCCTGAACGAGTCTTCCTCCAGTGGCAAACAGACCTTCCTGGTGATGGCCCTAACCTGAGCAGGGAAACGAGATTCGCCAGGACATTTCTTGTCTTCAAAAGCACTCAGCTCAATGTTGGTTCCTCCAAAGCTCGCGGCCTCGTAAATACCATGAAGCTGGTGAGTGGAGTAGTTGTAGAGGAAGAGAGGAAGTCCAGGAGTGATGGCTCTGACGGAGTCCCTGTACCTGGGAGGCAAACCAAAAAGCTGGCGCTTGAGATTCTCCTCCATGGTGTCGTTGTTGCAGACGAAGATGTAACCACCGATGGTCTCGTTCCTTGGAAGAGCCTCAGCGGGAGGAAGAGTCTTAAACCTCTTGTCCAAATTGTTGTTGTTCTTGTCATCTTCCTTGTTGTTCTTCTGATGATTGTGATTCTTCCTGTTCTTCTTCCCTCCTGTTGCTTTCTGGATCTGATGATCGTTGTCTTCGATGATCCCTTTGTTCTTCAAGTTGAAGCCATAGCTCTTGGGCGCAGGGGAGGAATAGATGCCCTTGTTGAAATCTCCGTTGACATTCCACGTGTCGTTGAAAGGGTTGCTGTTGAATTTGCCCGTCTGGTTGAAGTTGACGTTGTTGGGTGTTGACTTTGAGCCCACTGGTCCGAAACCGTTGGAGCTCGACTTCCAGGTGTTCCAGCTAGCAGCGTTGTTGTTGTTGTTGATGTCGGAAGAAGCCTTGTTGTTGTTGTTGTTGGGATATTCGATAGGGTTTTTGTCGGAGAGGGAGGAGATGTCGAAGTTTCTACGGTTGTCGGTGTGTTTGTAGACGGAGTTGGTGCTCCAGATGGAGTCGTTTAAGGAGAGATTATGAGGCGTCTGGACTCTCAATTGATCGCTGAACTGCCAAAACGATTGCTGATTGTTGTTATTATCCATCTCTTCTTCTTCTTCCTCTTTTAAATGATTTTGTGTGTTTTCTGTAAATCTCAGATGCGATTACTCTGAATAAAATTGTGTGAGATTTGGGAGGCTTGTTAAGTAGACAAGTTTGCTGAGCGAATAAAGAACAAAAGATTTGTAAATGTTGTAAGTTTTTCATTGGAGCTAGTGTGTCATCTTATTTATATTCATCTTGCAAGCACGAAATTTCGCGGAAAGTGACAAACACCCTTTTTATTTTTATTTATTTCCCCTCCCAAGGTTGCGTGTGAATCTGACAAAGTAGGTTAGAAAAAAAAAGTAAAATATTTAAATCAACATTTTGGTTTATTAGGAAACAAAAACTAGTCCAGTTGAATACCAATAAATCTCCAAAAATAAGGCAATCACTTGAGATTTATTAGTCTTACTAGGTGTTTAGCGGGCTAGGCATTTATAGTTACTAACTAATATATGAAAATTTATTTGTACTACATTCACTTTTAAAAAAAAAATCTTAAAAATTATTGAATATTTTCTTTTCAATTGTATTATTAAAAAAGATATTTGATTAAATTCAATTATGTTCATTCTATTTTAAAATTTTTAACTTTTTATCAAAAGATTTTTTTGGATAATAACACAATAGTAGATCTCAATCCGCGCAACCGCGCGGGTATTTGTTTTCATTTGTTTTTATATAAACATTTTTTTTACTTCTAAATTGGTATATATTATCTAAGGTGTGTATATCGAAAATGATGATTAATTATTATATAGTATAGATTAATTATTGTTAGAAAATGATAATTTTGTTATTTTTAAAAATAAACTCTATAATTTTTAAAGTTAACATCAATAATATATAAATAATTAACTTATACTATTACAATATTAAATTATATAAGTTTAATTTAAACATGTATTTTATTATAATATCTATAAATCCAATGGATCATCTAATTTTTATTAACCCAATAAAAATTTCTAGTAAGCCCAATAATGTTATTAATTATTGAAAAATGTAATGTCATAAATTGTATTAGATGGTCCATTTTAAAATATCACACATGAAGTGAAGTCAGGACTTATCTTTTAATATATAAGATGTGTAGGAATTATTATATATATATATATATATATATATTTAAACTATAGATATTTCTTATTATTAATTTTAAATAAACAAATTTAAATATATATTTTTTATTTTAACTAATTCATATTTTATTTATCAAGAATAAATAATATCAATTATTTTAATTTTGTTTATGAGAGTTCAAACACTAAAATATCATTTCAAAAATAATAATATAAGATAGATTATTTTATATGTTTAATTTATTGTTAAACTAATGATATTAGGTTTTTAAAGATAAAAATGAAGTTTGACCAAAATATAAAAAAAAAATTGAAGAAGTGAGTGCAAAGGCGGCAGGTAGCAGATAGATAGACGCGGTCTAGAAGAAGTACTATTTGGAAAATTGACGTGGTTGATTATGCAGATGAGAGAGAGAAGAAAGACATATTAAGATATTATATTTATAAATAAGTATTAATTTGTAAGCTTTCTAAATTTTGAGTTGATTTGTCTTAGAGGCTAAGGCATTGTGGACCAGACCAATTTTGTTTTAAAAAGTCACACAAAAACGCGTTGACGAATGAGAGAGAGAGAGTGCTAGGTCTGTGTGTCAGCTCATTCAAGCAAAGCAGGTTTGGAGAGAGACTGTCTACGGCGGTAACACGTAGTATTAGATTGTAGTACCCGGAAGCTTCTATTGGGCTATTTTAAAGCCCATTATGTTTAGTATGGACTTTTTCTATTTAGGTTCATTTATCAGGCCTAGTCAATAGAGAGAAAAGCAGAGAGAGTGATGTTCTTTTCTTTCTTTCTTTGCTTGCGACCAAAAGCCTCAAATTATTAAATTCACATCGAAGGAGGGAAAGATGGAACCGCAACTAACGGAGGTCTGGCAGCAGTTCAAGTCGAGAGGTTCAAGGTGAAGATGTATGACCAGGATGATGATGTAGCAGTCGAAAGTAGTTCACGAAGTGCGACATGAACTACGACTACGAGGCGAGTGAGTTGAGAGAAGAACGAGTCATGTTCTTCTCATGAGCATTGTATTAATAAGAGAGTTAATGAAGTAAAAAGGTAAGTTTTGAGGAAGAAGCAATCGAATCTTGGAGAAAAGAGAGATTAGCTTATTCACTGAAGAACAAGAAATGGAAAGTTTCCGTCAAAGTTAGATTTGCAATCCTAGGATGTTCTCCGCATATAAAAAGGAGGTCTAGGTGTTGTATGAAAACTAACACACAGAGAGAGCTTTTAGCAGTAGAGGTTTTGTACGTCCGGAGAAGGAGAGACAAAGCATCTAGGGGTTAGAAGAATAAGTAATTCATAGACTGTCTTAAATTTGTGAACGTGTAAGACTAGTCAACAAGTCAATGTTTGTCTTGAACTTGCTTGAAAGATTGTTTTTATAAAGAACTTTGTGTACTTTTAAAAGGATTAATCTAATCGTATTTCTTGAGAAGAATTTTCCCTGTACTACTGTGTGTTCTACTTGATATAGTTTGCTTATCTTACCTTAACACAAGACGCCGTTTACAAGGAAGGATTTCGATACCCTAAACCCTACGGCCTGCACTAATCTCTTGTCTCACCTCAAGGGTATCGGGATTCAACTATCTGTTTAATTTTCTACAATATAGAAAATGTTACACTTGATTAGGGTTTATAGATCAACATAGTGGCTTAGGGTTTACTAACTGGTTTAGAACCTAACTTTAAACCCCATTTTTAATGTAGATTCTGCCATCTTGTTGTTTCAGTTTCTTTTGACTAAGTTCACGGGTCCTCCATCTCTGTTTGAGAGTACCCTCAAATGCTCGAGTTGACTATTGCTCTTTCTCTTCTGGATTTGACATTTGTATGAGAATCTTGTTTTATACCCACCACCTGGAACATTTCCTCTCTCATACACATCATTATGTTTTTTTGGAGACTTTTCTGATTATTGAAACTTTCAGGGGAGCATTCTCTCTTGTTCTAAGCGAGAACTAATCGTGTGCTGAGTGCTAGGCAGACCGCACCCGATCAAACTTATGTCTACTTAATGGAACCATAAGGTAAAAAATGCACAAAGATCTTCATTACCTCATCCCCCATGATTTATCTCATTCTTGTCTTCTGTAGAGATGAAATAGCTTGGATGCAGTGAGAAAGCATATGATCATTTCTCATTCACCAAAAGAAGTGAAATCATATCCAGTGGATTTTAGCTAATGGTTACTGTCTCTCGTGCTCTGCAATTCAATTATTTTTGGTGTTTTGTCGTCTGGTTATAATGCAAACTTAGATATCACTTCACATGATCCCATCTTTTAGCCTCTATCAAAAAGGCAACACACCCATTAAATGGAGTCCGTGATTGAATTTTTATTCCTATGTAGTCTGTCCCCACTTCTTGTATTGTATTCACACTTATGTAGTGTGTGTGTGTATGTGTATTATTCTGTATTCATTCAATTTTTTTTTTTTCAAGAAAGGGACAAGAGATTGAAAAATTGTTGAGAAGTTGTTTTCTCTTTAATTATCAAAATGTTAAAATAATCATTCTCTACTTTCTGCTCCATTATTTTCCAACTAACAGTTTCCTTTATGTTATTTTCTACCTTTGTATTTTGTTTATAATTGAGGCCATCATTAACGTTTAAATAATTGTTATTGGTTGATAGAAATATATTATCATGTGGCCTAAATGCATTTCTACGGGTCGTTATGTTGGATTTGTCGGCTGCTTTTCAGTTTTAAACTCTCCTTATAACCAGTCACAAGCTAATGTTTGACAAAAAAAAAACCAGTCACAAGCTAATTAAGTTTTTTTCATAAAATTTGATTCGCCCTGAAATAATTAGCAATTAAAAGGAAAATAATTAAACTTGAGAAGAACGTATGGAATGTGTTAAAGAGTCTGCAGTGGCTCCACTTGGATCTCTCTCTCTTACTTACTCAAATATCTTCCTCTTCCATCTTTCTCTCTCTCTTTTTCTCATCTCATTTAAATCAGAACAGAAAATGGAGAGCTCTACATCTTTAGCCATCGTTCTTCATCAGTCTTCCAATCATGACGAACTCTTCATGCAGCAGACTCTTCAATTCTCACAAACTCTCAAGGTTTGATCCTTCTCTCTCTCTCTCTTTCCTCAACCATATACTTGGATTTTTGATCTTGACTTGTCTTTTTTATTCATTCAAGATTCATCTTCTCTCTTGTTTGTTCTTTTAAGGATTTAAAGAACTTGCGGAAACAGTTGTACTCAGCTGCTGAGTACTTCGAAACATCTTATGGCAAAGAAGAACACAAAGAAACGTAACTTATCTTTCTCTTTGTTTAGATAAATATTCTGTTGTGGATTTTCTGAGAGGAAATGAATGATGTTAGGGTGATAGAGACGTTGAAAGAATATGCAGCAAAGGCAGTAGTGAACACAGTGGATCATCTTGGTTCTGTCTCTGATAAATTCAACTCTTTTCTCTCTGATAACTCTGCCCATTTCTCCACCACTCGTACTCGTTTATCTTCTCTCGAACAAGTAAGTAGTAATCACTGAATCATTTGAAACGCTAATGACGAGAACACAACTCTCAGCCTCTCACATTGTGTCATTGTGTTGTAGAGGATGAAACTATGCAGAGAGTATATGGGTAAGAGTGGGACTTATCAGCATTGCTTTCGCATTCAGTTTCCTCCTCACCATCATAAGCGTTACTTCTTCCCTCGTATACCCTATAAACTTCTTTTTTACTCCCACCAAAATTAATCCATTGTCAGTCTGATAAGCTTTTATCACATATATATTCTTGCATAAAAGAACATGGACGTGGCACAAGTTTCGCGGCAGGAGATGACTCACATCGGTTCAAGAGTGGTAATCTAAATCTGTATTTTTATATCCAACATTTTTATATGATTTTTTTTTTTTTTTTTTTATGAATATCTGAGTCCTCTTCCTGATCTGTCTGAAAGCTGTTCGATCAACAATACTAGAAAACCACCCAATTACTACTACTACAAGGTAGAATCTTATCTTGATTCTGATGTACTTCTTCTTCTGTATCTCTCTGGTTTTAATTGTTTTGTAATCCGGATTACTGGTTGGTCGAATGCAGGAAAGCTAACAAGACAGGAAGCTTCTCCTTCTTACCCATCATACAAAACAATATCAGCAACAGAACACCAAACAGTACAGGCAACTAAGCAATGCTATCTCTCTTGTGTGGCTATTATCAGATTTCAGACAAAGTAAAGTGTGTGTGTACATATTGCAGGTAAAAGAGAAAACTCTCCAGTGAGATTTTCTCTCTTACGTTCAGGATCTCTACTAAAACGTTCAAGCTCTCCAAGCCAGCCAAGAATGCTGGTATTGTATTTGAATATATTCGTATACCTTCCACTTTTCAGCACTATAGTAATTTTCTGATCTGTGTGTTTGTATGACATTGATTATAAAAAGGCGTTGTTACCGGAACCACAAAGAGCGATATCTTTGTCGACAAGTAGAGAGATAGTGGAGATCAAGCAAAAATCTTCACTGAGAAAGGGGAAGAAGAGTCTGATGCTCAAGGCACTGATGAGTATGAGCAGCAAGTCCAAAAACTAAATCACTCCCTTTGTATTTTTATATTTTATAATGCCCATCCTTACAAAAACAACATGTGAATTGAGGAGAGAGTAATAATGGTCATCCTCAATCTTCTTTAGATTCTTTGATTGAAAATGGGTTTGTTGAATTTTAATAGAAACATACAGAAGTTTGTTCACTAGTTAGTTTCTTCACTTCATTGTACACTCTCTCTAGCTAGCTTTGACTTTAGACTATAGAGCCAATTAATTAACTACTTCCAGTTGATTGTGATCTTCAATAAAATGAATTTATTTATATAATTCATTATTCATTTTGTACCTAGTTATTATAACAAAAACTCATCAACCAACAAATTTGGTACCATTGCCTATTCTTTCAGTCTAATAACATGCTTACTTGTCAGATTACCTTGTTCACTCTCTGTAGTTTTCACTTCAGACTATAGAGTCAATCAATTACTTGTAACTGACTGTGATTTGATCTTCAATGAAAACAATTTATGTAGTGGTGTTTCAAAAAAAAAAAAAAAAAATCCAATTTATGTCCATTTTTATTGTGTTCCTTCTAACAAACTCATCAAAATATTTTGGTACCAATGCTCTAATCTCTATTTTATTTCTTTACTATTTTTTCACTTGTGCGCCAATATTAATAATAAAATATAATTAATTTATATACATTTTCTAATGATATATATTCAAACTATGATTTATTATGTTTCCTTTTTTTGTACAATTATACACTTTAACATAAATAATATCTATTTAGACATCTCTTTGTTTGTACATGTATACTATATTTTTTAACAGATAATATTAATTATATTTACAAATAAATTTTTATTAGTATTGTAAAAAAAAATTTTCTTATCAATATTTTAATATAAATTTGATTCAACTAAACATAAAAAGTAAGATAATTTTTTTTGTTGTTTTAAATTATATTTAAGAACATGCATGTATACATTTAAAATTATAATCTTAGATAGATTTTTCTATCTATTTATTTTAATTAAAATTAAAAGATATTTATAAAATTTCTTGATATATAAGAAACTAATGATTTCATGATTAAATTTTTATAACTTTCTTAAAAAATTGTATACATTTTTGAAAATTTTAGTAATGAACTTCTATAAATTAAAAATGTATAATTAAATGATATTTCGAAATTTGTAATGCCATATTTGAATATATTTATTTTAATGATGATTTATGAGTTATTACCATATTCTAAAAATTATTTCAAAAATATAAATCAATATTAAATGTAATATATGAGTTATTACCATATTTGTAATGCCATATTTGAATATATATATATTAAATGTAATATATATATATATATATATATATATTAATGATGATTTATAAACTATTATCTTATTCTAAAACATTCCAATTATAAATCGACATAAATGTAACATATGAGTTATTATTTTTTTAAAAAAAATTTTACAAAAAATAAATTAACTTTTAATGTAATTATCTATGTCATATTAATCTATTAACCATGTCATCAATTTTAGTAGACATGTCACATTATATTTGTGAAAATGATTGTAAGGAATACATGTGACAAAATCATTTCTCAAATAATGTATAGGGGATGTTTAAAATCTATATAGATTTTTGGGTGCATATTGAATTTGTTACATTGTTATAAATATTTGTATTATAATTTTATTTAGCTGTATACTTGAATGACATGAAAATGAATTTATGTACATAATGTTCAATTTGATATATATTTTTCAAAGTTATATAATTATTATATATTTATTATGTGAACATATGTACTTGACATACTCTTATTTAATTATTTTAAATGTGTATCTCATAGTATAACATTCATATTTTTTTTGCGTTTTTTGTTGTAATTTTATCTATATTTTATCAAAAGTTTCCTTAAGTGGTACCATACATAATTATATTTTAAAATATAAAGTTATAAGAGCAATCTTCTCTGGTATTTTTGAGATTTTTTTTTGTTAATAAGGAAAAGTGAAATACTTCCATAGAATTCGTCTCTAAAAACACATATAAAATACAATTGCAAAACTAACCTCTGCATTGACCAGAAGACTTTCGGGTAAGTCTTATACTACCAGATGAAGTTTTCTGATAGTCAGATCTGGAAAAAAATAATTTTATAGCCTCAATCATTGAGATAACTTGTTGAAAAACTGTAAGTTGTCTAAAAGAAGTCTATGGAAGTCTTCTGGTATAGTTGATTTTAAAAATAATTATAAATTTTGTAAAAATTATTTTGATAAGTGAAAAATTGAAATCATATAATTATAAACAGTTTTAAGTGATATAAATTAAGATATAATAAAATTAAATTATTTTCAACATAAATACGTGAAATTAGTGAGTAATGATATGATTTGGTTTAGGGTTTGGTAACATACGTTGTAGTATTGTATGTATTTGTATGGTTAGATTTTGACAGTTTAAATGTCTTTTTTTGAAAAATTAAAATTTTACTTATATGTGTTTAGTTCTTTGTATAGTACTCCTGGGAGAATTAAGGTCTTGCTTGAGAATAATCCTGACGTTCCTTCTGTGTTCTCTAGAACTAAGGTATATTCAAAAAGTCTCCACTTTTCTTACTTCCAATCAAAGGTTGAGCTATGAAAGTTGCAGCCTTTAGTGTTTTCGTTAACTTTGATCTATGAAAGTTGCATCCTTTAGTGTTTTTGTTGAAGTGTCTTCAGCTTCTGAAGTTGAGACAGCTGAGCAGCAGTTAAATGGCTATGTAAGAACATACTTAATTGTCGAACTTATGTCGTTTATTGCATAACCCGTGGCTGCTAAAGACAAAAAAGTTGAAACCTTTGTGTTGTTTTGTTGTTCTTATTGCGTGAGCTTTGTTGGTTTGTTTGCAGGAGTTGGATGGTAGAAAATTGAGGGTTAACGCGGGTCCTCCTCCACCGAAGAGGGAATTTCCTTCTCGAGAGGACCTAGAAGCAGCTTTGGAAGCTCTAGTTCTGGATATGGTGGACGTGGAGGATCTGGTGCTGGTTCTGGAAACCGTGTATATGTCGGCAATCTCTCGAGGTGGGTTGATGACATGGTTCTCGAGAGTTTTCTTGGGGAGCAAGGAAAGGTTGTTGAGGCTAGAGTTATCTACGACAGGGACAGTGGTCGATCAGAGGGTAACTGAAATGTAACAGGCGCTTTGAAGCAGTTTTGTGAGAGGATGGCAGTACTAAGCTCTTCGCCTATGTTTTGTTGTGCCATGGATACACTAATGGTCTTTTTGAGAAACATATATTTAAGATTTGTAAGTGAATACCACGTTCTTGTCTTGACTGAAACATATAGTTAAGATTTGTCTTGTCTGAATGCCAACACATCAAGAATCTATACTCATACCAAAAAAGATTTTTATCATTCTACCCAGTCAAAAAAACTTAGTTAAACTCACGAAAGATCAAACATTTAACTAACATAGAAAACACTAAACCACATAACTTGATATTCTTTAAGTTACTTAGTATTTTTGAAAGTTAAACATCTCTTGATACTTACCACTCTTGAAAATTACAAATTTTACAATAATTAACGTAGAAGACTTTCCGAAATGTGTTTTAGACGACTTTCCGAGAAGTCTTCTAGACAACTTCGTATGAAGTCTTCTCTCATTAGCTAGAAACATTAATATGAAGGTTGGTAACCTCATAAATATTACCAATTGAAGTTATGAATTTCATTCAGTATCACAAATATTGATTAATATACATGAATTAATAAGAAAATGTTAGAAAGTCTTTATAGTCTAAAAGAAAATGAAAATTTATTAAACATTGACGCAGACGACATCCACGAAGGTCGTCTAGTAGACTTCTAGGAAGTCTACCATTTATGCTAGTTTTGCAATTGACTTTTAACCTAGACGACTTACATGGAAGTAGTCAATCTTTGTTTGTTAAATTAAAATTCAAGACGAAGAGAAGACTTCTCAGAATACTTAAATGTAAGTCTTATAACTAGAAGTAAAAATCGAAGATCATTGTTATCATCTCATGTGTTATGTATACATTTGGTATGTGGTTTCTTCAGTAGAAGTCTTCCAAGAAGTCTACTCATTAAAAGATTTTAACTTTAAAAAATTAATCACAGAAGATTCCCCATAAGTATTTCTCTCATTAGTTAGAAATATTAATAACCATGAATATTGGTAACCTCATAAATATCACCAATTAAGTGATAAATTTCACTTAGTAGCCTCAATATTGATTAATGTACATAAATTAACAAGAAAATGTTATAAAATAGTTATATTTTTAGAGAAAATGAAGGTTTAATAAAAATTGACGCAAATGACTTTCATAAAAGTCGTCCGACAGATTTCTAGGAAGTCGTCCATTTAGGTCATTTTTGCAATTTAAATTTTACAAAGAAAGACTTCCAGAAAAGTCTAATCTACAGCAAACTTCTTTGAAAGTCTCCTTTGAAAATACTGGCGTATTTTTGTTAAAAAAAAAATCTCGAAAATACCAGAGAAGACTTACATGTAAGTCATCTATGATAAATAAGTTAGTTTTGCATTTGACTGAATTGTATCAGAAATTTGTTTTTTTCCTGGATGAATTACATATAAGTCGTCTGGTAGAAAAATATATATTAATTATAATTAAACGACTTACATGTAAGTCGTCAGGCGGAAAAATAAAACTTCAATAGTTAATTTTTGTTAGAAGACTTCCATGTAAGTCGTCGTCTTGGGTTACTTTTGTAATTGAAAAATAAAACTTAAATATTTAATTTTATCTGGACGACTTACATGTAATTTTCCCGTAGATGACTTACAGGGAAGTAGTCTGAGATAAGAAAGGTTTGACCGCAATCATGGAATAAAATCTTGGAAAACTTTCTTGTAAGTCGTCTCGCGGAAGACTTCTGTGTAAGTCATCTACAAAAAAATTAATATTTAAGTTTTATTTTTTAATTGCAAAACTAACCCGATACGAGTTACATATAAGTCGTCTAGTTATAATTAAATATATTTTTTAAATATTCTACCGGACGACTAACATATAAGTCATCTAGGAAAAGTCAAATTGTTAACACAATCCGGTCAAATGCAAAACTAACCTACTTATCCTAGACGACTTACATGTAAATCTTCTCTTGTATTCTCGAGACAAAGAAAACTGGACGATTTCCATAGAAGTCTTCTCTAAAACACATATTAAAGTCAATTACAAAAGTAATTTATGAATTGAACAGACGACTTCCGTGTAAGTCTTCTACTGCCAGAAGACTTTGGCGGAAGTCGTCTAGCCGAACATATCTGAAAAATTCGATTTCATACCTTAAATTAGTGGAATATCTTCTTTAGCACACAGAAGTCTTCTCCAAGCATCCATAAGCTCAAACAAAAATGACTCACCAAGAATTGTAAGCTTGAATGGTTCTATGAACCATATAAATTTTAGAATCAAAATCTTAGGTTTTTGGATGAATATAAAGATAGAGTGAAAGAGAAGTTGTTTTTAGTTCATAAGAAAATGAGTGTAAATTGATTTTAGGTGCATTAAGAGCTTCTAATTGGTAGTTCATGGTGGTTGGTGTATTGATGTCAATGGCAATCTTGTAAATACTTGAAGATGATGAGGTTGAGAGAATAAAAAATCCATTTTCGTGAATAATCTGAATTTCTAGGGTGAATAGGGCAAAATAAAATACAATAAAACATGGATTAGTTTTAGAGTTGACTTTGAGTTTTAGATTACTTTCGAAATAAGCCCTTAAAAAATAAACAAAATGTTAATTTTTCTTTTTTGGTAATTTGCTAATATGTGGACACTTTCAATAATTTATAACTTGAAAATTTATATAATATTTATTATTTTGGAATATTTTATTAGTATATAACCTAAACCTAAAATAATGAATTTGATCGATATTCATAAGAGCTGCTAAAATTAAGAATATAACCATAATAAAGTGGATGTGACAATTAACGCCAAAATTTGACCGTTTACTCCTTTCACTCATGTGCACATGAAGATGAGGTGATAAATTTGGCAGCGTAACACTTAGCTTGCTAGTAACTGGAAATACATCATTTCATGTACCGTGTCTTACAATATAGGCAAAACTATACTATAGTATATATGATGTAGTATATGCACCAGAAAAGGTAAAGAGATTATTAACATAAGTGTTTATACCCCAACGCAATAAGATAAACAATATAAAAGTGCGGAATAGAAACGGCGTGAAAATGTTAGACTATAGTATATAGGAGACAAATGTATGATACTAAAACATATAAGGGCAATGAGGACGTAAAATTTATTTTACTATATGGGATATAGTATAGTCCACCGACGGCGCAAAGGAATAAAGTTTAGTTGCAAAAGGCATAACATGAGGGTCAAACGTCTATGTACAGATGCAAGAGGAGATCAATGATTCATGTATGAACAAACAATCATCCATCTAGGTGGAGGTGGCTATAGTTGGTACATATGTACACTTACGAACCAAACCATGTATTGGAACGTCATACCTATTAGACTAGTATATACTGTGCATAGTATAGTATCAATATAACAGCCCACATGACAATGCAAGTCCTTTCCGAGTGGAGAAAAAGTGATCAGGCATTGGGATATCAGGTATGAAAATGTGTTGTTTGTAGGCAGATGAAACATAGAATAAAACATGTGAACTTCAACAGCTTCCAATTGGTGGAATATACTATAAATGAATGTAGAATGCAAACAAAAATATCGTATAAATAAGATAGTATAGTAAAGACATTCCAAAAATTAACATAATCCAGCATAACATCTGAAAGGACAAATTTTTTGACAATATAGTAGATAAATAAAGTTTAATTTAGGTAGATTTCACCCACATCATCTCTACATATAATATAAGAGGGAGGGAGGGAAGGAGGGAGGGAGGGAGGGAGGGAGGGAGGGAGAGAGAGAGACAAAGTAGTAAACTACTTATGAGAGTTGGATTTTGTGTGACTATACTACACATTATTATATTATAATATAGAATACTCAACACAAACAAATATGCTTTTCATTTATATGAATGACCATAACCAAATGAGGGTTAACAACCATACTATAAGCCAAGTTTAGTTTTCTCCCAATAGTGCAGTTACAAAACAAAGTTTTAGGATAAGAGAGAGGAGACAAACATTATGCATGGATTTTTTTTTATAAAATACAAAAGTTAACTAATATATAAAAGGAATGGAAGATGAAAACAAATGACACAAAATAACTCACTGCATAAATAGTTCGGATTGAATCTAGAAAATGCTTCAAACGTATGTCTTTGCTATGATGCCAAAGGAGGTTTCTGTGAAGGTATAACACCAATTAAATTGTTATGTCACATTGAGTTCTAGGATAACAACCGTCACAACACATGCTAATCCTGGAAACACCCACAATAGAAATCAATCACTAAGGCAAAGTCTCCAATTTCATAACAGATTTGTTTTGTGCAAACACGTAACATAGCTCATACTTATGTGTTACCAACTGGCATGACAACAAATGGTGGAAAAACATTACTAAAGATGTAATGCCTGAACTTCGAGTCCACCAACTATTCTTTTATCACCTCTATCCAACGTAAATTCAAGTAGTTATTAATTCTGTTACGTGCACAAAAATATGTCTGACTGCCACACTATGAAGTATAAAAACAGTACTATAACAAACAGTGAAACCTCTATAAATTAATAGTGTTGAAAATTCACCAAAACTATAATTTTTTATTAGTTTATAGAGATTATTAATTTATCAATATACTAATTGAACCAAAAAAATCAATTTGGGACTATATAATTATATTATTTCATGGAGATTTTTATATTAATTTATAGAGTATTAAATTAAAGAGGTTATACTGTATGTGTTTGGCAAATGGTATATAATAATCCATTTATACCAATAACATATTAATAAATGTGATTGTCTTACTAACTGCATTAATCAACCCAAGCAAAACGAAAATCTAAATCCATAAAATACAAAAAGGGCCAAAACATATTACAATCTCTCATTATCAAGTGCCTATCAACCCAAGCAAGATTTAAAAATACATCACATAACTATACTATTTACGTTTCTCTTATAGTATAGAATACATCTTTTTCTCTCCCACCCAAGAACCCATAAAATTTTGTAGGAAAACAGACAAAGCAAACACAATACATGGCCATGTCGCGAATTCAGAACCAAAATAGAGAAAGAGAAATTTCCTTGGATAGCCCTTTTTAGTTTACTTTCACAAAAATAGTCCTCGAAGAGGAAAAATACCAAAATATTTTTCTTATTAAAGGATAAATATGCATGTATACCCTTGGGTTAACTAATCTAAACTTAGGATTTAGAGTTAAGGGGTATGGTATTGGGTTTAGGGTTTCAATTTTTTTAAAAAATAAAAAAATAAATATTACAAATTTCAAATAAAAATGGACTATTTTGGTTATTTTATTGAGGATTTTTTTGTAAAAAAAATTAATAATGACTATTTGAAAGAATTACCCATAGAATACAAAACTAAATTTTAACTAATTTTTTTTTGTCAAATTACCATTTCTGTCGCCTTGCCGATAATCTCCTACCAACCGGATCTTGTGGTTCCGATTTATTTTCATTCCTTTGCTTGTACTCTGTATTTTCTTGTGTTGTCTAGAAAATGAAAGTTTCTCCGTAACCCCGACGCACAATTGTAAAAAAAATTCCAGTTTCCAGGTTCAAAATAAAAAGACAGTTTTTAATCTTCTACGCGCAAGTTATGGTATTATTGGAATATTTCATAAAACTATTCAAAATTTATATGCTTAATTGTTTTTTGTTATGTACATAACACATAGTTTCCAACTTAAAAAAACCATGTATTTATTTAAATAATTAATTTAGTTGGTTTTAAATTCTATGAATATTGAGTTTAATTATAACTTCAATTTTTAACTGCATGTGTAGAGGATCCGGGTGATTTTGGTTTGGTCGTGACGGTCGGATATCCCAAATCAACAAAAAAAATTAACTGCATGCATGTTAGTGAAGACGTGGGACCTTGATAAAGGATGAAGGAAGACTCAAGAAGAGTGTGTTGGGCTGGAAAGAAAGCCCTACATTCTCTAGAATTCAGAAGAAACATGTAGAGTACGTGGAACCAACGGCCACGATTATTCTTACAAAAGACCAGATCTGATTGGCGGATTCTGTAGATAGTCGTGATATGATTGGTCCACGTCATTGTGGATGACATTTCTTCCGTGTTCTCTCATTAAAAAAGCGACTACTTCACCAGCACCCTTCGAGAACTAGACTATATATAAAAGCTTCTAAACTTGTTATTCTATCAAAGATACTTAAATAAAATACAAATAAAAAGAACAAGGAAGAGAAAGATCTAATACAAACTCGACTACTAGATACTATGGCGCGCTCATTCGGAGCAAACCGCACGGTTGTGCTGGCGATCATACTCTTCGGTTAGTCATTTTCTCATCTCTAAGTTTTGATCTTAGTGTCTGACAATGTTCTTGTTGTGTTCTAATCTGGACTCTGCATTGATGTTTTGATCGCACAATTTAACTAAGTTGGGAATAGGTGTTCACTATAATTGGGAGATTTATGTTTACATTTTGACAGTGTATTGATATTATTATACTTCTTCAGGATGTATATTAGCGACGTTTTCCACTGCTAAAGAAGAGTCCGCCGCTAAGTTGGGAACTGTGATAGGGATTGATCTTGGTACCACTTACTCTTGTGTCGGTGTTTACAAGAATGGCCATGTTGAAATCATTGCCAATGACCAAGGTAACCGTATTACTCCTTCCTGGGTTGCTTTCACCGACTCTGAAAGACTCATTGGTGAGGCTGCTAAGAACCAGGCCGCTGTTAATCCCGAGAGGACCATCTTCGACGTCAAGAGACTTATCGGCCGAAAGTACATTTCATTCCCTTTATTTTTTTCACCTTGCATGCATATATGTTGGTTGCTATAATTCTTTCCTTGTGGCAGATTTGAGGACAAAGAAGTCCAAAAGGACAGGAAGCTTGTACCTTACCAGATTGTTAACAAGGATGGCAAGCCGTACATTCAAGTTAAGATCAAGGATGGTGAGACAAAGGTTTTCTCTCCTGAAGAGATCAGTGCCATGATTCTCACTAAGATGAAGGAGACTGCTGAAGCTTACCTTGGCAAGAAAATCAAGGACGCTGTTGTCACTGTCCCAGGTTAGCTTCTGCTTCATCATGCCTTGTGGATATGTATTTACACCGTTTACTGATTTTTTTAACAAAAAAAATCTGGTGGCAGCTTACTTCAACGATGCCCAGAGGCAGGCTACAAAGGATGCTGGTGTTATTGCTGGTCTCAATGTTGCCAGAATCATCAACGAACCCACTGCTGCTGCTATTGCCTATGGTCTTGATAAGAAGGGTGGTGAGAAGAACATCCTTGTCTTTGACCTTGGTGGTGGTACTTTTGATGTCAGTGTCTTGACCATTGATAACGGTGTCTTCGAGGTTCTCTCCACTAATGGTGACACTCACTTGGGAGGTAAACACCACACATGCTTGTTCTGTATTATTAAAGTTTGTGTGAATATTCATTCATATGATGATGTTTTGTGATATTGTGCAGGTGAGGACTTTGACCACAGGATCATGGACTACTTCATCAAGTTGATCAAGAAGAAGCACCAAAAGGACATCAGCAAGGACAACAAGGCTCTTGGTAAGCTCCGCAGGGAATGTGAGAGAGCCAAAAGAGCTCTTAGTAGCCAGCACCAAGTCCGTGTAGAGATCGAGTCCCTCTTTGATGGTGTTGATTTCTCCGAACCTCTCACCAGAGCTCGTTTCGAGGAGCTGAACAATGACTTGTTCAGAAAGACCATGGGACCCGTGAAGAAGGCCATGGATGATGCTGGTCTACAGAAGAGTCAGATCGACGAGATTGTCCTCGTTGGTGGAAGCACCAGGATCCCAAAGGTCCAACAGCTGTTGAAGGATTTCTTTGAAGGGAAAGAGCCGAACAAGGGTGTGAACCCCGACGAGGCTGTTGCTTATGGTGCTGCTGTCCAGGGTGGTATTTTGAGCGGAGAAGGCGGTGATGAGACCAAAGATATCCTTCTTCTTGACGTTGCACCACTTACTTTGGGTATTGAGACCGTTGGAGGAGTGATGACAAAATTGATCCCGAGAAACACAGTTATTCCGACCAAGAAATCTCAGGTTTTTACAACATACCAAGACCAGCAGACAACTGTCTCCATTCAGGTCTTTGAAGGTGAGCGAAGTCTCACTAAGGACTGTAGGCTGCTCGGGAAATTTGACCTTACCGGAATCCCACCGGCCCCAAGGTTTGTATCTTTAGATCTTTACTTAGTAAAAAGAAATCTTGAAAACTAATATTACATAGTTTCGTGTGCTTGGGGGATTACTAGTTTCGGTTCCGAACCTGAAGTAGTTAAAAAATAAATAAAGAAAGTTGAAAATGAAAAAATAATAAAACTCTTTGTTTGGCAGGGGAACACCTCAAATCGAGGTAACGTTTGAAGTGGACGCGAACGGAATCCTGAACGTGAAAGCAGAGGACAAGGCGAGTGGTAAATCAGAGAAGATCACAATCACAAACGAGAAGGGACGTCTGAGCCAGGAAGAGATAGACCGGATGGTGAAGGAGGCAGAGGAGTTTGCAGAGGAAGACAAGAAGGTGAAGGAGAGGATAGACGCCAGGAACAGCCTTGAGACATACGTGTACAACATGAAGAACCAAGTAAGCGACAAGGACAAGCTTGCAGACAAACTGGAGGTGGAAGAGAAGGAGAAGATAGAAGAAGTGACCAAAGAAGCCTTGGAGTGGCTTGACGAGAACCAAAACTCAGAGAAGGAAGATTACGAGGAGAAGTTGAAGGAAGTAGAGGCAGTGTGTAACCCGATCATCACGGCTGTTTATCAGAGGTCAGGTGGTGCACCAGGTGCAGGAGGAGAATCAGCGGCCGAGGACGAGGACGAGGACGAGTCTAACGACGAGCTCTAAGATGTTGTAACACTGTTATTTTATATTGTTGATTTGTTTGAAAGTTAAAACCGTTAGAGAGACAGCCTTGGTCAAGTTTTGAATATAAAGAAAGACAACTCTTTTCTTATTGCTTGGAAAATTGGGTGGGGGTCGGGTTGTGCCGTAGTTAGTTTCTCAGGCGTTCTTTTTTTTTTTTTTTTTTTTTTTGACAACGAACGGCTGATCTATTACTCAAACTTGAGGTGGTCTGGGAATCCAGACCGGAATAGAATAACCTACAAACACCAAATCTCGATAAAAGGATCGAGCAGTCCTAGCTAGTGAATCGGAAACACCATTCTGAGTCCTAGGCACATAAACAATCCGAAACTCGGGAAAGCAAATCTGCAAGGTAGCTAGCTTTTCCAGTTCCGTTGAGAAGCTTGGTCAGTCCTGTGGCTTCCTTAGCATTGATATCACATCCTTACAATCCGTCCCAAAGCTCTGACATGGCGAATGTTGAAGCATGTTCTCCATTGCCCACCGCAGTGCTTCCAGCTCAGAGTGCAAAGCCGACTCCACTCTATCAAAATTACGCAATCCCATCAGCTGACCTTTCCTCGTACTATCCTGCCAGACCCATCCACATCCGCTGTAAGGAGCCGTGGAGGTCCAAGAACCATCCACCAGACAGATGTCCCCCAGACTTATGGTCTGGTTGTCACCATCCATATCTATTTGAGAGGGTAATGACGATTGTTCATTAGCTTGATACCAGGCAAGGCATTCACTTTCTGCATATCTTGCTGTTTCCAAAGGGTCTCTATCAATTCCTTTGAACAATTTGTCATTCCGAGCCTTCCAAATATACCAAATTAGCCATGGAAAGGGATCCATATCTACTACCGGTCCATCTATAGCATCCTTCCTCCAAAAGAGATAGTCCATATTCGCATAAGTGCTCTGCAAGGGAAATAAAGACGGGCTAGTGGGTAAAGACGACAATGCCCAGACTTGCATTGCCGGAGGGCACATGAAGATAGCATGTGTAATCGATTCCTCCGGTTCCCCACAGCGTGGACAATAGTTATCACATCGCATATGGCGATAGTTTAGGATGCTCGTAACAACTACCTGACTCGATATTATCTGCCACATAAGATGGCACATCTTCTGAGGAGCTCTCACCTTCCAAACTTGCGATTGTAGTTTAGTAATACTAGGCTCACTGACTACAGGCAATTCTTCCCTCTTTAAAATATTCCGTGCCACCCAATATCCAGACTTAACTGTATATTGTCCATTCCTTGTATAGCTCCAGCATAATGTATCTCTCCGATGTGTCGAACTGATTGACATACTCCTTATGAGAGGTATATCAGCAGCACTGACGTACTGCTCTAGTCTTCTTATGTCCCAGGTCTTTGTCTCTTGATCAATGAGATCACTGACTCGCATATTTGGGTGTAACACCGGTGCAGATGGGATCGCCGGTCTCGCAGGTATAGTAGGGATCCAAGGAGCCTCCCATACTTTCACCTCATACCCCGAATGGATCTTCTGTCTGATACCCAATAACAATAGTTCTCGTGACACCGAAATACTAGACCACACATATGATGGGTTACTACTTGAAAGCTTGCACAAGGGCGAACTTGAACGATAGTACCGACCCCTCATTACACGAGCAACCAAGGAATCCGGATATTGACTCAACCTCCATAATTGCTTCGCCAACAATGCCAAGTTAAATTCATGAATTAACCTGAAACCAATCCCACCTTCCTCCTTTGGTAAGCATACTTTGTCCCAAGTGGACCAATGGATTCCCCTTTTTGGTGGATTAGAGCTCCACCAGAACTGTGCAATGGCACTAGCTAGGGNCGAGCAACCAAGGAATCCGGATATTGACTCAACCTCCATAATTGCTTCGCCAACAATGCCAAGTTAAATTCATGAATTAACCTGAAACCAATCCCACCTTCCTCCTTTGGTAAGCATACTTTGTCCCAAGTGGACCAATGGATTCCCCTTTTTGGTGGATTAGAGCTCCACCAGAACTGTGCAATGGCACTAGCTAGGGTGTCACATATTTCCAAGGGCAAAAGAAAGCAGGACATGACATAAGTCGGCAGAGCTAGCAAGATCGACTTAATCATAACCTCCTTTCCACCTTTTGATAGCCACCTTCCTGTCCACCCGTTAACCCTGTGTCTTAGCTTATCCTTCAGAAACGCAAAAAGCTTACATTTGGACCCGCTTATATCCTCTGGAATGCCTAGATAAGTGCCCATCCCTCCTTCATTCTGAATACCAAGCGTGTCTTTAATTTCTTGTCTGACCCCCTGTCCAATCCTCTTACCAAGGAAGATTTATCGAAATTAATACATTGACCAGAGGCTTTTCCATACTTCTTGACCACCTTCATTACTTCTTCACATTCACGGGGCTCCGCCTTACAGAAAAACAAACTATCATCAGCAAAGAGAAGGTGAGATACCGATGGACACGCACGTGTGATACGCATCCCCGTTATCTTTCCTTGGATCTCTGCGTGATTTAGAAGGCTAACGAGCGCTTCCGTGCACAGAATAAAAATGAAAGGGGACAGAGGATCCCCTTGACGTAGACCTCTTTCTGGGACAATGTTCCCTCTTGGCTGTCCATTCATCAAAACCTTATACCTAACAGAAGTTATACAGCGCATAATCCAAGTTATCCATACTTCTGCAAAACCCATCTTCCTCATGGTGTCCTCAATGAAGGACCATTCCATTCTATCATACGCCTTGCTCATATCCGTTTTAATCGCCATTCTCTTATTCCTTCCGCTGGGTTTAGTCCTTAGGGCATGAAACAGCTCCTGGGCAATCATAATGTTATCAGAAATCTGCCGTCCCGCAACAAAAGCCGACTGAGTTTCTGATATTCTATCTGGAAGAATCTTCTTTAACCTCTGGCATAGGACCTTAGAGATTATCTTGTAGCTAACGTTGCACAAACTGATTGGGCGTAGCTGACTCATCTGATCCGGCTTATCAACTTTCGGGGTAAGACAGATGTTTGTTTCATTTAAACCATTGGGTATCTCTCCTTCAAATAGGAATTTATTAACCATAAGAGTTAGATCCTCTTTGACAATATCCCAAAATTTTTGGTAAAAAAGAGCAGTCATTCCATCTGGGCCAGGGGCTTTCTCTGGATGCATGGCAAAAAGAGCCAACTTAATCTCCCATTCAGATACTGGCGCTGTGAGAGCTTCAATATCCATAGGTGTGATGGTAGTAGAGACTTCTGATAGTGCTTCCTCTATGTCCTCCGGATTTGAGGACTGGAAAATATGTCTAAAATAATTGGTAGCGATGGCTATTAATCCTTCCTCGTCCTGAACCACATTTCCATTTTCATCCAGAAGTTGCGTGATCCTGTTCCTTGCTCTTCGCTGCTTCGTGAGAGTGTGGAAATTTTTTGTATTTCTGTCTCCTTCTCGTAACCAAAATACTCTACACTTCTGCTTCCAAAACAACTCCTCTGCCTTAAGGGCATCAGATAATTCTTTTAAGGCCGCTGCAATCTCCTCCGTAGTAGCATCGTCATTTGAAGATAACTGATCCACTTTCTCTTTTAATTCCTCCACACTCCTCTCAGAGTTGAGGTTATGCTGTCTTTTCCACTCACTCAGAGCCTGTCTACAGCTTGCAATGTGCTCCATTATGCTGGCTTCCGGTGGAAGATCCGGTGACTTCCAACCTTCCAAAATCACTTGTCTGAGCTCCTCATTATCCAACCACCGCTTATCAAACTTAAAATTCTTTGATCTCCGTGGTCTCTTTCTAAGAATCTCAGCTAGGATCGGACGATGATCCGATCCCCACATCCTCATATACTGCGTCTTCGTATGAGGGAACTTATCATGCCAATCCTCATTACCAACAGCTCTGTCCAAACGACATCTAACTGTAACCCTCCCTGCTCTTTTCCCAGCCCATGATAGCGAATTTCCTGTGAATGGAAACTCCAACATTCCACAGTCACTTAACANACTGCGTCTTCGTATGAGGGAACTTATCATGCCAATCCTCATTACCAACAGCTCTGTCCAAACGACATCTAACTGTAACCCTCCCTGCTCTTTTCCCAGCCCATGATAGCGAATTTCCTGTGAATGGAAACTCCAACATTCCACAGTCACTTAACATTTGTCTGAAAGGCAAGAAAGAGCTGTCTGTGCGTTCACGACCTCCCTCTTTCTCTTCAGGGCATGTAATCTCATTAAAGTCTCCAATCATGAACCAAGGTCCAGTTCTGGTTGTTGAGAAACGCGTAAGACGTTCCCATACTAACTCCCTACGTTCTAAAACAGGGTCTCCGTAAACAAACGTCATGTAAACTTTTATTCCATCAATGATTGCCTCAATGTCAATCATTCTGTTATTTGAAAATAAAATCTTAACTTGAAAATCATCCATAAAAAACAAAGCTAGACCTCCGCTGAGACCACGTGGCTCAACGGTAAACAAACGATCAAATCCTAAGTCGGCCTGAATGTCTTGCAACAGCAGCCTCCTATTCTTCGTCTCAGAAAGAAACACAAGTCCTGGGCGATGCTTCTGACACATCTCCGTAAGGCGTCGAACTGTGAGGTTGTTTCCTAGCCCTCGACAGTTCCAACTGATTGTCTTCATTGATGATGGTGGGATGAGTTTTTGGACCTCATCAAACCATCATTTTTTGAACGAACATCCCTACTCTTCTTGATTACATGGCGGCTATGTCCCTGCCTTACGTCACTGGAGCTTGTCTTAGAGCGATGTGAATGAGGTCCTCGACGAAAGACATCAAGATCCTTGTTAGACATGCCCAAAGAAGCATTAAGTCTACCACCACTCCGGGTTTGACGTGAAGACTTGTGCCCCTGACTGGTGCTCTTCGCCACCACAGTTGATACTTGGATAGTACTCTCTTCAGCCTCCCTAAGTTCCTCTCCAAGTAGATCATCGTCGTTTGCATCGTTGTATTCATACTCCATCATGCTAGAGTGATGTTGTTCCAAATTATCCATGTCATTCAATGCACCAATCATTTGCTCCGTGTCATCTATTTCTTGATCTCTCAAAGGCGAGAAAGATAATACTCTTGGTGTACCTCTGGGCCGAATTGTGACATTGCTTTCCATTGGAAGAGCAGCAGCGGATGGAGTTACAATGGCACTCGCGATCCTTCTCTGAACTTTGCTGTTACATTGATCATCCTTCCCAACACTCGGAACAACTAGCTCGATGTTTCGTGATTGTGGAGATGGCTGGGGTAAAGAACCACCATCCCTTGCGCAGACATCATCTGAGCGGAGAGAGGGAATCGAAGGTTTTGCTCTCCATCGCTGATCGTCTTCTCGATAGTATGGTTCCGACTCCTTCCTTGCGCCTCCATGTCTACGTGAATTGTGACCCCTCCTCCTGGACACCCTACTCAAGTACTCCTCACGGTATCCATTAAAGTTCTGATTCCTAGATGTTACAGCTCTGTTGCTGCGTGTCCGGGTAACATCTCTAGACTGATAAGGCTCACGTTCCCGTGTGTAGGTATCACGGGAAGATCCCATGGAAAGAGAGCCGCCTTGTTGAGAATCCTGAGGCCGTGCTCGTGACGTACCATCAAGCCTGCTGTGTACTGACGATGGTGCTTCCATGCGATTAAAAACATGTTCACGTTCCCCGGCCACTTGTAAGCGCGCATGAATACTGCCAGAAGGGCAATAACTCTTTTCATGTGTTAACATGCCACATATGGTGCAATGTTTAAACAACATGTCGTATGTGATTTCAATAGTGACTCCATCTCCTTCCGGTGATTGTACCTGCCGTTTAAACTTCAAAGGCTTACGTGAGTCAATGTGTATTAACACACGTCCCGTGGACAGCTCGATCGTGTCAACATAGCCAAGTCTCCCCCCTATATCCCGTAAGTTCATATCTGTCCAGAGATGCAATGGCAACCCTACAAACTGAACCCAAAAAGGGATTATCCATGGATAGTCATCATGAACAATCGGTTCCCATCGAACCAGCACAAACATGCAAAAGTTGTAGTGGAAGGGCCCTTGTCGAAGAACAAAGTTTAGATCCTCTTCCGTTGTGAAGTTAAGCAGAAACTTCCCATTACCTAAATCGTTCGCAACGATTTTATCCTCCATTTTCCATTGTGCTGTCATTGTTTGGATGAGCTTCTCAACCTTTTGCTTTTTGGGGTTAAGGATCTTGCCGATTAAGGACAGACGGAATTCCAGTATGACATTAGCAGCATCATGATTCGTCATCTGAATAGGTTCATCATCGTCCTGATAGGCCACACCTTTCCCTTTCACATCTGCGATATGAGCAGATCGGAAACGAGCCATAGAGCCCATCGGAAAAGATGATATCGTAGTCGTAGGTAACTGTTATCGCGGTGAAGCCGTGGAAAACCACTAAGGTTGATCAAACCAGAAGCACAGATCCGAGGAGATTCGTGCAATAACGAAGGAAGACGTCGAATTATGGATCGCGAAAGTACGGCGGAGACAAGACGGAGACCGGAGCGGGCACAGACAGACGACACAGATCGTGCTATGCTGAGTGATTGTTTGAACACCAATGGGGATTCAAACAAGGGTGGAGATCTTCGACGTGGCTTTGATCGTAATACTGGTCTCCTCCCTGATCAGACGTAGCTTGTCGTGGCTTTGATCGTCTTTTGAAGACACGAGATTACGGTGATGACTAAAACCAGAACCTGAGACGGACACAAATCAACGACAAAGATCGTTGTATTGTGTATGGTTGCTTGAGAACCAGTAGGGAATCAAGCAAAGGGTGAGATCTTCAACGTGACCTTGATCGTGATCTTGATCGCCTCCATAATCGCCCTGTTGCGGCTAGGGCTTTTTTGTTTGTGTCCGGTTAGTATCAGTTAAGGCCAAAATTAGGCGTTCTTTTCTTTTTATTGGCAGAACCACAGTTAAAATATATAAGAGTTGTTTGATAAATGGTACTTAATATTATAAAAACACATAATTTTATTGGATCTAGAAATTTATATAGGGGCCAAAGTTTATGCCTCAAAGAGAGAGATAATATCATAATACTAGATGATAATCCGCGCAGAGAGTGAGAGAATATTCAACATTTTTATGTTAATGTATTGATATTACGAATAATCTAATTGTTACAAATATTAGATCTAATTATTTGATATCAAACAAAATTGTAAATATATATATATATATATATATATATATATATATATATATATATATATATATATATATATATATATATATATATATATATATATATATATATATATATATATAATGGACGATTACATGTTTAATTGAAAATTTTGTGTAATTGGTTATGTGTCACTTAGATATATTTTATGTAAAAATATGTAATAGTATGCAATAATTTCAATCAACTAATTATGAATTTATGATAAAAAAAAACATATGAAATAGATTTATTGTTACAATTTTAAAAGGAAAATAAGTAATAGAAAATTAAAATATGCATGAAACAATTAATAAATTTTTTTTGATAAAACCAAAATGCCACGAAAAAGTCTTCATAACTCCTGATTTGCAATCCTATAGATAGAAATAACTAAGAATTAGTTTACCGAACAAAACATACCTGATAACGAAATGCACTAAACTAATTGATATATCTTTTTCTGAAATCATCAATTTCTGGAACATCATTGGGTTCAAAAATAATATTGGAAAACCCATCAATGTTGGTCACATGCTTCAATCGACCTTAAAATGAAAAAAAAAATAGGTGAGAAAAATATTAAGGGGATATCATCTCCAAAAAAATTCTATTATAAAGTAATACTATAAATTACCTTCTCTCCGATTAATTTTTCAAAGTTGTAACACACCGACGACAACATTTGCATTTGTAGAATTCCATAAGTTTTGGCAAACATGAGCAAGTGCTCCATAAGCAACACACTTAATCACAATGTTGCTGTAATCAATTGAAAAAAAAAATCATAACTAAAAAATACTGAAAACTAATTGAATGCATAACTTTTAAGTTCAGATGTGAAATACTTACTTCATGTTTACTATAAAGAAACAGATCTTATGGTCAATAAAACCATTGTTCCCGTTGGTAGGTTCTGTCATATACTCTTCAAGAAATCATACTCCTAATACAACCCCATAAATATTTGATATACACAAGAAAAAAAACTTAAGACAATCACACTCAAAATATTGCAGATTTACGGCTATAATTAAACTTGACTATTAAATAAAAGTAGATCGGATATAAACATACCGATACAAAATTTAGGATGGGCGAATCCATGGTAGAGGTCAAATAGTTTGAGTTTGCTTGTGAGATTAATTCGAGAAATTTTTTATGTTGTGAAGAAGGAAGTGATGAGTCGATTGATTATGGAGCACATATATTTATTATGAGAAGAGAAACCGTGTATGGCAACAAAAATTCGAGATTAATGAAACCTTCATAATTAAAACTCGTACTACCTATTAGTTGGCTTAACTTGTGCAAGAAGGTGTATACTAAGACTAACCTAAATTCGTTAGACACGATATCAAACCTTCCAAATATATGACCAAAACATTCAAAATGGAATATATTCGATTATTAATTGATTTGCAAATATTGAATCCATAATCTAAATTTCTTATATCAAACAATCACAACTTTTTGATAAAGACTACTAACCATAATCATCTCCTTAATAATGAACTGATATTAAGCCAATTTATTGCACCGAATATTATTACACTTTTAAACACAATTTGATTAGATGTGGAAATAACACATGAGGAATCAAGAAACCACATAAATGTCGTATGGCTTCACTAATTTAGCTTGTATTAGTGCTAATTTAGGAAACAAAATTCAAGGCGCGGGTATGAAAATTTAGGAAACAAAATTCAATCTCGTATGTGCGATACCATTTATATTGGATTCCTTTTTAAAAAATCTTGGATATGAAGTTAAGGGATTCCATCAAATTGATCGCAAACTTTATTTTTCAATTGAAAGTATACAATCAGTCAAGTTACTGTATCAATTTTTCTATTTTAATCCGTTTTATTTTTAAAGGATATCATCTTCTCCTAAATTAGTATAGCAATTAATTATGGTGTATACGATAATTTGGTATATGGTTAGTTCTCCATATCTTTGATTTAATTATGTAAAAATGATTACCTAAATTATAATTTATATTATGATTTCATTTATAATTTATGATTTTGGGAATATATTAAATGACATAAACTATAATACAATGCTAAAAATTCTTAACTTTTCCTTTATAATTTATAAATTTTCGTAATATATGCATGGAAATAAAATATAATAAATGACATAAACTATGATATTTGACTATAGAGTTAACTGGATCGAATATTTATGGAAAAAATCTTAACTATATATAGTTTTGGAAAGTATTATATGCAAGGAAATAAATATAGGAAATAATATTATTTAATTATAATTTCACTCCATACAATATTATTTTACAATGTCAACATTAACGTTGATTCATTAGTTAAAAGTTAAGGTTCTTAAGTTAAGGGAGCAAGAAATTTAATTTGGATTTCCTTTTGAAAGTATTGTACATTCAGTCATAAGCCAACTAATGGTAATTTTATATATATATATATATATATGTTTAGACAAATGTATATGTTTATACAATATTGTCTTGACCAAAAACACAACTAATGTTAATATTATATATATATATATATATATATATATATTTAGACATATTTTTTGTATAATATTGTCCTAACAAACAAAATTAATGTAACATACTAAAATCTCCTATAAACATATGTGATCTAAGAACCAAAAATAGTGACTATTTCCTGACCACAAAGAAATATCACATATCAAAATTTAAGAAAAGAACATGAATATGAACAAATACATTATAGTTTTACCATATAATTGATTATATTATCCGCTTATTACTGGACCAAAGAGACAAACCATATGAAACTATTAACTTATGAAATAGTTTATAGTGAAAAAACATAGGTTTAACGGTATTGAATTGTAAATACTCTAGTAAATAATGTCTAATTTTATAAATGAGTTGAGAATGCTTGTGAGATTGCCACATAAGTAATGGCAATTTTGTTAA